CTTTGAAAGTATATTTAACTCGGAAAATATCCCATTGGTACTTGCCGTTGGTGGGTTTCGAACACGTACCTATGCATAAGAAAGTGGCTTCCTACACCTCCGGGCCACAACGACATTATGGTTTTACTACTAACAGTAGCCAACCTAACTAGGTCCTAAATAATAACCTTGGTAAATTAGTTTCCTCCTATGTGGTATGAATGAACTACATAAAAGAATTAAAAAATAATTAAGGCCTGTGTCATAAATAAATTACTAGGTCAGGTTACTCACACTCAGGTTGAGTGATCTTTAGACAAGTTTAAGTCCAATACGGCAAATATTCTTACACAACAATATTCACTACACAATATGATAATCATTATATTTATCGCAATTATTGCAATAATGTAAATAATAATACCTATCAATGTATATAACAATCGTATGATATTCACATCACAATACATTCAAATAATAATTTGAGTTGTTATTCATTTGCTGTTCAAGATTGTTAGGACTAGTGAATAGTCATGACTTCGGTTATCAATTTTTGTTAATATAGACTATTACTAATCTATGAGTTCCATCAATTAAAATTAGTCTGCCATAATAAATATTACTTTACAAAGTGTCATTGCCTATTGTTGTATAATACTTTTCCGGCCAACAAAATATTAAATATCCCTTTTCCGCTTCGTGAACGAAACCTAAGACCTCTAGCTCAATGACGGTTGCGTTTGCGTTAGATAGATCACTCGACTAATGAAAAAGTTCATAAAACAAACAGACAATACAATCTTCTTCACTTTGATTAATATATGAAAGAAACATCAAACTACAAGATTTGATTGACCACACATTAACATGATTAACACATTGTAACAATCTTGTTAGCGTCAAATATTCGAATAATAACCGCCGTCCGCCATTTTGCAAGATGGACGGTCCTGACTTGTGACGTAATAATTTAAATTATCTGATTTGTTGTACAGATTGAAGGTGTTGCAATATAAGACGCGTTGATCAATACCTAAGTAGGTAGGCACTTCTTAAAGTTAAGGTACTTTAGATTTCATGAAGTTAGGCATAGGTAGGTTCGGCCCTAAGTAGTCTAACTTATAAGCTATTATCAGATTTTTAATGGGATAAGTCGGTAAACCACTAGGTGATCCGCCTGCTCGTCGTCGCTTGCTGCTCGATTGATTATAATCAATCGGCGTCGTCCATGGACACCTGGAACACCAGAGGCGTTACGGCCTCTAAAGAATTTGAGGATAGTTGGGGATTCAGGGATTGGGGAAGAGAGGGGTGCGTAATTCGGCTTCCGTTAATATCACTCACACGACGTAACACATTGCTTCAGCACAGCATTGTTTCACGTCGGTTTTCTGTGAGGCCGTGGTCCTCCGTTTGAGTCGGCCCATTCGTGCCGAAGCATGGCTCTCCCATACTGGCTCTGCTAAATGCCAGCAATAAACATTATGCTTATAAACCCATCACAAAATGCCTCCTAGGTCCGGACATTTACAAAATTCATCGCGTTTTAAGCTTTATAAAGTTACATTAAAGTTTTAAATTAGTGAGGCTGTCACCGCCATCTGTGGTAATCATGTTCCAAAATAAGAATTTTGGAGTAGGCCTCTTAGATTCTAGTTCATTTTACAAAAATTTTTAAACCCACTTGTTTATACAACGTTGGCACTTAGCAGGGCCGAATTCAAACTGTTGTAAAATAAATGCAAGGAAAGAGCGTATTCCTTTTTAAAAGGCCGGCAACGCACCTGTGACTGCTCTGGTATTGTGAGTCTCCATGGGCGGCGCTGATCGCTTACCATCAGGTGATCCGTTTGCTCATTTACCTCCTATTCCATAAAAAACCTCGTGATCTTGTTTACATTCCCTTGACTGTAGATGTAGATGGAAATTGAAGTGAACAAGAACAAAAGAAAGGTAGGCAGATAGGTACCTATTTTCAAACAGGTGCGTTTGAAAACAGGTGTCTGTCTACCTTTTTTATCGAGGATATAGTTAGAATAGTCCATTTATCGAGGAAGGCTATATAACATCACGCTACGATGAATAGGAGCCGAGCAGAGCGGGTGAAACTGCGCGAAAGTAGGTAATGTGTATATACTAAAAATAAGACTTTAAATTCGGCCCTGCTTGATAATGTAAGTAGTTCGACTACTGAATTTGGGAGTTGCGTGTATTTAGATGTGCGATGCAGATTAGATTTGACGGAAAAGGATATTGACTGGCGTAAGCGACGTTTTTGGATGGTTGCTTCGAAAGAATTTGATGTGTAAACTTAATATTTGTAAGTTAATGAGATACGATGTAAATGTAAATGTGCAACTGAGTGGGTAGGTAACTAAATTAGAATTTTTAACCGACTTCAAAAATTAAGGTTCTCTGTTTGATCTGTACCTATGTATGTATGTATATATGTTTGTGTGCAATTATCTCGCTATTGGCTGAACCGATTTTGATGCGATTTTCAGAAAAGGGTTTATTACACTTAGGAGAAGTCTTTTGTATATTAACCGACTTCAAAAAAGAGGGTCTGAAGTTGGTTTTTAAACGTAAATAATTTATAAAAGAATTACTTACTATAAATCTATTTGATTTATGACAGGGATTTACCCACGATTTACCACATCGTTTTTGAAAAATACTTACAGCTCTATGTTACGTATTAAAAATGATGTTTCTGTATAGGTAGGCCTAAATAGCAAATACAGCTAAAATAAACTGGATTTTTATCGATTACACATAATTATGTAAATGTCATAAACATTCAAAATGTTAACTAAAATCACGGGTTACTCACGTCCACGTGAATATACTGAGAAAAGCGGACCGCGCACGCTGCTCATGAGGAAGAACCCCTCTGTGGTTCGAAACTAGTAGAGCTTTTCTCAGTATATTCGCGTAAGTAACCCGTGATTTTAGTTAATTTAGTATGTCTCACGATAGTTATTATAAAAACATTAAAATTAAATAAGTAGGTATACCGAGCACAGTAATTGTTTAGATAATAAAACTTCGAAAGAAATAAACTGGTATGAGCCAAGTATGAGCTCTACTAACAAAAGAAAGGTTGAGATAATATTACAAAGTTAAAGATGAAAGTAGGTACCTACTTTAATTTGCGTGCTAAAGACACAGGCCACAGCTCACTCCTATTGTTATACAATACTTATAACAAAGTTGCAAAATTATTAAATTTACACTAAGTAGCTGTGTATTATACTTTCTTCTAAAGACTATATCAATGCTTTCTTCATAATTCTCACAACTACTAAACAATAGATTACCACATAGTTTTAAGTATTAATTTTGCAAAAATATCAAAGTATGGAGTGATTTCGCACGATTGTGCAAGACGTAAAATAATAAAATCGTGTAGACATAAAAATATTGCAAAATGTATATTATTGTCTGTTGTCTCAAATTTCAAGGTACATGTTGTGGGCGGTTGATAAGGAATCCCACACGTTGATTTTTATCTAAACATTGCTAAATTCTTATGACAATGTCTAGTTTTAGTTTTTAACTTTCGCAACTTAGGTATTACCCATACCTAAGTTGCGAAAGTTTAAAAATAAATATAAATAAGACAAACAAAGAAATAATTTGCTTGAATGCGTTATTCTCTGAAAGCGTGCTTGGCACTCAGTAGTCGCCATACTGGTACTTTGTACCATTCTTGACTTGGTTTTGTTTTAAATCTATAAAAAAAATATCGGAGACTTACACACCTTCATCACTACATAGTATAAAACAAAGTCGCTATCCGCCGTCTGTCTGTCCCTATGTATGCTTAGATCTTTAAAACTACGCAACGGATTTTGATGCGGTTTTTTTTAATAGATAGAGTCATTCTTCAGGAAGGTTTATATGTATAATATATGCGTAATATAGTAGAAAAACACTGATATATTTAGACATTTCTAATTGCACCCGTGCGAAGCCGGGGCGGGTCGCTAGTTAGAATATAAACCATGCTTCCAGCATTCGACAACACTTTTGTCATCTGGTTTTCCAAATTTGAAAATCACTCTTCTTCCTTCAAAATTAAGGTTCAAATCAATAAAATACCAAAATTATCACAATAAAAAATTTATTATCTATATAACATAACATCGGGCCATAACCATAGAATGAAACGACTGTATATTACATTGTATAATATTATGTATATAGGCTATACATGGCGAAGGCACGTTACAATAACCAAGTAATGTTCCACATGTATGAAAAAATATATCGACTCTCTTATTCTACCGAGTTTCCTTTTATTGAGCATGTTATTTTATACATTCAACTCTTGCGCAATACGCATGTTTGTTCACTAAATTAAGTTAAAAATATATCAAAAAATGAATGGAAGCATTGCATGGTATATGGTATAAAACATTATAATGAATCATGGCGTCTTTTAACGTTAGATAAATAAAATGTTGTACTGAAACTTATTCTAATGACTTAATGATGTATTTCCCATGAACTCGACATGTTTTATTATTATTTTTATGTGAAAATATGTTTCATTCTCTTTTTACATTATCTTTATTAATGTAACGTGCCTGGGTACCTGATGCCAAACGCTTGAACAAAGCAAGAACAGAATAGCAAGTACATAATAATTTAAATACTATAAATACCAATAATAAATGGATCTTAACAAAACTATAAAGTTATTGTTTCTTACGAATTTTGATCGCTCATATACATATCAATATGTATTTATAAATTAACAGCTAGATTATTGCTTGTCAACTAATACAAACTACAATTTCATATAAAAATACCTTTTATGTTACACAGAGTAAATAATCAAACAAATAAATTAATAATATTCATGACGGTGCATTTTGCACGGCGTGCGATAATAGTTTGCAAGCAACAATCAGCCTTATGGAAGGAGGATAAGACACAATATGGCGTGTGAGAGAAGAGATAAAACAGATAGTGTGTGCCATCAGGTACCGACTTAAATCGAGCAGTGTGATGTTTTACATAAAATCGTCGTAGTCATCGTCGAAATTACCATAACTGTCGTATTGATTGAGATGAGCCTGGAAAATAGAGAAATTCGAATTTAGTACATTTATTGGGTACAGAATAATTGATTTCTGGTGTTATGAATATGGAGATACAAGAGAAAAGTAGCTGGTAAAACAGTTAAAGAACCTTTCAGGTTTTCTATCTACATATGAAATTAATATTAAGGTGAAGCTATAAACAAAATGTTATAAGTAGAGGATTAACATGTTAACTGCCATGGGGGTCACCAGCGACCGACATTAGCGGAGGATTTATGTCTTCAACAGTTATCTATTGGCAGTCAAAACCTTAAATAACATAATTAAATACATATTGTTATTTGTGTTGTTTGAGTATGGTGTTATTTTATTTTATCGGGGCGAACTTATTGCTACTTAAGTTCATGTGAAATGATGTCACATGCTATAAATTTAATAACAATTACACCCATACCTTTAAAACAATTTAATCAAAACCAACTTTATTTTTTGGCATTAAAGTCTATATTCTATAACATGTTTTTGGTCTCATTTTATTTTATGAGGGTGAATTTATTTCTACTCAATTTCATATGAAATGATATCACATGCTATAAATTTAATAACAACCACACTCATAATTTAATATACATTCACAATTCAATCAAAATCTACTTTATATCTTAGCATCAAAGTCGATTTTCCATCAAATGTCTTATTACCCAATCCATCTTTCAACAAAATCAATCAAAATTACATAATTAACAAATTGTTTGTAAATAATTTAATCATTACACATATTGTTAGACAAAACTTGACCTACAAGTGGTTGAATAATATGAAACTGATAACATTATCATGTACAGGGGAGATAGCAAAGTGATAAGACATGTAGTTATCTAATCATATTGACAACGAAGTTACGATATATCGATGTTAGTTGGAGATGACACAATATGTTACTGAAATTGTATTACAGCTCAAATTATTTTCGAAATGGTAAGTAAATAGCATTATGCCATTAAATGGTAAAGGTGTATTACTGAAATATAAATGCAGCGAGCATATTTCGTAATCGTAGTTGTTGCTCGCAGGTGTAACATGGGCTAGATACTGCCAGGAGCTTTCTACAATTTTAATGATAATAAAAAAATCTACTCAAAGGTTAAATATAGCCTTGTATGGCATCTGGTCATTCAATGAAATATTTTAAAGTATCAGGATGAATGTTTTTGTAACCAAAGCAAAAGGGCAGATATTGAAACCTGTTAAGTATGTAACTAATTCTAGTTACAGGGTCTTTGCAGTGAAGGATAGCAATAAAAGAAGAATTTGTATGAAATTCCTTGACAGAACCAGATGAAAATGTAACGTAAAATATAATAATAATATAGTTACTGCGAAATATCGTAGTAAATAAATAAAATAGTACTATACTCACATTATCGCCTTCAACTTTTAATTTAGCCTTTCCTTTGCCCTTCGTTGGCTTCTTGGACTTGTCCATTTTTTCAGATTTCTGCTTCTCAATGTAGAGGTTGTCCACAGACATCTTTATCCTTTTTATATCTGCTGATGGCACTGTAACAAATTTCGATACATTTAGTTCAATATTCAAGGAAACAAGTTTATTTATGGAGACAAATGTTAAAGTATGTAGATAACACAGAATATTAGTAAGGTTCAAGAGTGATTATTAATAATTATAAATTATATTAAATACTGCTCCAATCTAACTACAGCTACTACAGCATCGTACACCGTGCATAAAGAATGCCCAGCTGTCGTTACGAAAGATCGTGAAATCATAAAAATCTATTACTTTCAAAATTAGACACACTCAATACATTTACCATTTTTTTTATAAATTACTTTTAAAACACTTCGACCTCCTCTTTTTTAAAGTCGGTTAATTAATATACTAAAATCGTCTCCTAAGTGTAACAAACTTTTCTGAAAACTCCATCAAAATCGGTTCAGCGATTATACAGGTCAACTGAGAACCTCTTTCTTTTCTTTATGACGTCGGTTAAAAAGGCTCAAAGTCAACTTACATATCCGCATGGTACTTAAAGAAACCAGTTTTAACCAAATACCTACCTAAAAGCATATTTATTAAAGAAGCATATTTAGTTAATATAGAAGTATATTTATTAAATGTTCCATAATGTCTTTCTAGGTACAGGCAGGGGAAATATATTACCTAAACAATTGTATAAACTGACGTGTTGTGAATCATTTAAGGTAGTTAAGTTTTCCCAACTGTGACATCATTGTTTTTGAACTGAATATATTCTAGAATGGCATTACTGGTTCAGTATAATATTATATTACTAACTTCTGCCTGCAGCTTCGCCCGCGTTACCGTGGGACAAAAGTAGCCCATGTATTATACTAAACCACAATCTACCCCTGTTCCAAATTTTATCCTGGTCCGTTCAGCCGTTTTGACATGAAGGAGTACTTAACAAACATACAAAATTTCGCATTCATAATATTAGTAGGATTTTACCCTCCATCTCCTTATAAATGATTTCTTTGTTTCACTGTAGTATTCAAATAATGTAGGAAACAATAAGATTGTTTTTTAAAGATTTTTATAGAAGTTTTGTTCTTTGAATGACTAAATTGAGATGGGTAACGAATGAGGGTACAAGATAATATTCGAGATAATGTAATAAGTACTTTGTATTTATTTTGGTTAGCTGATTAATCCCCAAGCAGTGACTGGTGACCAATCTCCACTAACTACATTATAGACCTTATTTCCGATGTTTAGAGACTACTTTTGTTTAAAAACAAATTTTGGGAATTGTCAGTACGATATATCAAGTGATTAATACAATTTTAGTGCTAAGATTAGTTTGATATGACTTATCCGACTATTCTTCATGCATAAAACTAAAACTAGAAAGAATTTAGAGGTCAACCTCTATACAGTTATACAATAAAATAAGAGAATGAGTCTATTTGGTAATGATTTATAATAATACTCTGATAGTGTATATTTATCTCAGAAAGAGAAAAATAAAACAATTCGGATATTCCACTCATGTTTTAAGATTTTAGAAATCAAAGACTAAAGTAACTTACATTGAACAACAATATTCCTGATGAACTCATCAATGAATGTGGGGAACTCCTCCCTGGCCTTGTAGAAGCATATTTTCTTGGTTAGCAAATCAGCAAACTCTGTGAATTCAGCCTTTGTAGTAGGTTGGAAGCCATCGATTTTGCCTAGGTTTGCCTCTGTTACACCTGTAAAAATTATAAAGGCCCATGTTAATGAATCCGTCGTGTGCGAGGACGCAGACCCACGCAAGACAATGTATTTCCTATTACATCTTATATAAGTACCAGTCAAGAGGTTAAATTATTATATTATTCAGCGAATTGATAAAAGCTTAGTTTTCATGAAGAAAAGTATTTAAGAAATAAATACTGGATTTGTGTTAATAGCCAGATAGATAATAAAAATAATGAAGGTAGTTTCTGTGAGATAGTAATAACTACATTTATGTGACTAAACACATGTCATGTAAACTCCATGAATGTAAAATTCCCATAAGATGATAATTGATGTTAAAAGCCAAGGATACACTAGAAGACCAAAGTCCTGACACGTGTCGCCAGCGACGTTGGATGGAGTAGAGCGATATTGCTAGACTTTGGTCGACATGTCTGGCAACATCAACGTCGCTGTGGACATAAAGCGTGCGTTGTCGCCTTATAATATGTCGGATGAAATAGACAGACTTCGCTTGACATGTTGCCGATACATGTCGTGGGACATTTGTCCCTTAGTATTCCTAGGCTTTAAAGATTTCAATTGAATGGCTATAATGGTAAAAACTTTTTATTTGATAGCCTCAATTCAGGCTAAGCTAAGTGCTGTTTTTTTTTCAAAAAAACTATGTCTCACACTAGGATTTTCTACTGTGTCGATAATAATTCATTTATTCAAATAAAAAACTTAAATTAAAAACTAACTATTACTTAAAAAAAAATTAAAACTAAATATTACTAAATTAAATACCTATATACAACTAAAGATTAAAATTAATTATAAGAAAAAACAAAAACAACTATTTACATAAAGCGTCGAAAAATTCGTCCGCATCGACGTCTGTGGGGAAAGTACCCAGAAGGCTGGCAGCATTGCCACGTTGTATGGCAATGCTTAACCTCTGACCGAGAAAAAGACCGTGTCGTGGTTGCGTTTACAAACATACAAGTTCACATACACACCACAACCAGACCCGAAACAACAATTTGTGGATCACACAAAGTGTTGTTCCGTGCGGGAATCGAACCTGCAACACTTTGCACGGCAGGCGGTTGCCCGGCCACCGCACCAACCGTGCAGTTTTTATAGCTTAATAATTTATTTCTCCACTCACCAAAGGTCTCCATGGCGAGCCTTAAGTCTGACTCCTCTTGGAGTTTCTGAGCTTTCAGTTTTTCAGCTAGCTTTTGTTCAGGAGTCAGTTCTTCTACCTTCTCAACGGACAGACGGTCAGCCTTCTCACGTTCTAAACGCTGAAATGTACATTAAAATGCATTTAGTCAATATTTCATATAAAAAAGGGATAATGGTGTAACCTAACTTAACTTTGGATTATAACAAAATTATGGTATCTATACTTATTGATTAGTATCAAGGTAGTAGATAGTATCAGGCATTATTTTAAATTTAATAGCCAGTCTAAATACCAGTTATGACATCAAAAAATTATAATAAGAGTTCAATTAATAAGAATCAATGATCTTATAAATAATACATTATCTCAGGTTATTTGTATTAGCACATATTGTGTAATTCTTTAACAAAACATCTTAAGAACAGAAAACAGAATTTGTTCTAGAACTCTCTGCAGCGGCAATAATACCATGAAGAGAATATTAAAACTAAATTTGTATTATAGATCATGAGTTTTTCTTAGATAGGTAATATTTAAAGACAAACTGAATAGCTCAGTTAGAATATGAAGCATTATCATCAGCTGGAAGAAGTCTGCTGTTTTAAGGTCTACCCCCTTTTCCAACATTAATCCCATGTGTTAATCTTTTTGCACTTCCTAGTCAAGGAACTATACATTTACATAAGTTTTATACATAATTCCAATTAAGCATAACTGGTTAATAACTGGTAACTGGCATTAAAATAAGTAGATATTTATAATAGATATAATATCTTTAAATTGAGATTATTCGTTCAGTGGATTACAGTGGAGCACTATGTTAAGATGTAAGCCTGTTGCATAGCTAAATAATATTATTGCTTGATATTAAATAAAAAAAACATATCTCTCGAGCCTTGATTTCCAAATACAGACACTCAGTTTATTCTCAAAATTGGCTGCTCAAAATAAACCAGCCAAGAAGTTTACTTTTTTTTAACCAATAACAATGCCATTCGAATTTCAATAGTAAAATACTATGCATAGCAACTCTTCATACTTTTTAAGATGTTTTATATTCTGTGCTGTTTTAAAAAGAGGTCAAATAATAAAATGTTAAATTTCTTCATGCAGATAATTAGAATGGGTTAGCCATAATCTTGTGTAATATCTGTAACACAGAATATTAAACAGCAAGGTACTACAAAATTACAGCTTTCTACTGAGACATTCCAGTTTAAAGTGGTTTCAGAACTTTCACTTGATCACTTCTATCTAGATCAACATGCAAACATTATGTCTAACACCAGTTTGATATAGGATTGGTTAACAGGTCTGAAACTAATCCAGTATTTGGACAGCATGAAGACAAATAATGATATTTTCAGAATTTTATAAGAATATACTGAATGAATATGTGTAGAATAATGTATGTCATGTACTTAATTATCATAGTTATTACGTCAATTCACCAAAACACACGCCCTAACCAGGATTTATACTCTCCAATGGCCTTGGGATCTAAAGTTCATGACATATGTTCATAAAAATTTCGACATACCTCTTTTTCGGCTATTTTATCCTGAATTCTCTTTTTCGGTTTCGGTGGAGGCGGTGCCTGGACTTCAGTTTTTTCCTCATCTTTCTTTTCTTCCTCCTCGTCTTCCCAACTTTCCTGCAATATCACTGATGTCAACACGTATGCACAAAAAATTGAGGTTAAGTTCTAAAAACTCGCTAAAAGTCAATAACCACTAACGTATTATCCAACGGGAACAAAAATAAACTTTTTGGCAAAGCACACTTTACCTTCACAATCTCTTCCTCGTCTTCGCCTTCCCATTTATTCGAAGTAGTCAACGTGGTCGGTAGTTTAGGCTCAAAATTATCCGCGTCTGGAAATAACCATGCAAGGACATCACAATTTATCTTATTGTGGAAAATTAATATTTACCGCATAATTACAAGTACTTACCCCACGACACATCCATGATTGCGGATCCTAAATAGCACCAATCTAATTTTGTTACTCGTTTCACGTGAAGACAAAATCAGACAGCCAAGTAACTTGCCGCAATAATGGTTTTTTATCACAAGATGTCTCCAGGGTCGACAGTGAATATAACAACAATAATATTCTCAAGCGAATATTGTCAAACGACCGAGGTTTTTCTGCATTGACCGCGACCGGATTGAGAAACGATAGACAAATGACATAATTTTGGCGTATTCTCAACAAAAATATGATCAAATTTTGATAAGCAAAAATATGACTCCATTGCAGACGATAATTTCCGAATCACTAAAAATTTTCAATATGGCCGACTGACGGTGTTGCCAAAAATATAACGTTAGAAATTCAGACACAGAGTTTAACTCAACAAAAAGTTTTCATCAATTAAAATAAGTTTCAAGAGAAATACATTGTTGTCAATGAAAGTTAATGCCACTAAAAATCGACATCCTTGTTAATAAGCATTTAGATTTGAACAACTAGTCTTTTATTTGTACAGTTTTTGTGCTTGAGTAACTCAAACTGAGTTAACTGATGAGCATGCATGCTGAAAATACTGATGACTTAATGAAGCGAAAGAGGTATGTATATGTAAGGCATTCCATAGTCTCTCCCTAACCCAATGGGAGACAGGCGTGAAGTTATGTATGTACTTTTTGTGTTTCTATCAATTCTTTCGAAATGAAAAAGGCTATATAATTATTGCATATTGCTATTGCCAAGAACGTTGAAAAATAGCCTATTGATAATTATTTTGATAGTTGTTCGTTGAATTGATTCATAATCCAATATTGGATAATAATTATTGATTTCATATTAATGTTTTATTTATATTTAAAAAGTGGCAGCACCATTCTCGGTCGCCAATCGCCATTGTTTTACTTGACATTGACATTGTGTTTGACATTGCGTTGACGCGTTTCCGCCAAATTTAAACTTTATTTATGACTCGATTTTTATTTGCAACTATTTAATAACATGCTTATTCTTAGAAGAAAAGCAAAAGATTACAAAAAGCAAGTATGCATTCCATTATTAGTTTTAATGTGGAAATATGCGATTGCACGATCACATCGTTCTTGCCACTCTTTTTGGGAAATTTTTAGCGGTATCTCGGTATTTTTACTTTTATTTTTCGTTTATCAAACGACTAAGAGCGCGAGGTTTGAGCCTAACGTGAGTATGAAACATTTTGTATGTGGTATGTACCAAGTCGAAAACAATATATAAAATACCCATTTCTATATCATTTCAGTTTAATGAATCTGTCGTAAGAGTGTTCTTCACTCCAGATAATAGTTACACAAGACGGCTAATTAACAGAGCTGCGAATTATTTAGCTCAAAATGAAATGGGTAAGAATAGAATATAATTATATTTTAGTATTAGATTAGATTACCTAAGTAACTGTTCTTCCTATAGATTACAAAGGAACACTTCAATTCATTTGATGTATGTTTTGTGTTCTTCTAATAACTGAATACCTCCATAGTCTGTGTGCACCATCTAAAATGCAATTTGTAAATAATATCTTTCTACTTAACATATCTAATTTATGCTATTCATGTTTTATAGAAACTGGAACAAATCGGCAGTGGAGGTTTGAAGGCTTCAAGTATCCATTGGATGAAAAAAAATTCAATACCTCCCAAGATGTTGTGGTGGTGGACTTTAAAGTATATTTTTAACATATTTTATAGAGAGGGAAACCCATGACAGATTACCGTACACTACAACTATTGTTACCTAGCGATTTATAAAAACTACTTCATTTGAACTCCTTCTCTATGCCAAGGCCTTAATGCCAATCTCACTTAATACTTTGCATAAACTCTTGAAGAGGTTGTATGCAGAGAGGTTGTTTTTTTATTATGTGGGAAACCTTTAAAAGTGTAGCGTTTTGGGGACAAAGACTTAAGGACTGTGGGATTCTGCACATGCTAAAATCTCCATGGTCACCTTGTATAAAGTTCCAGCTAGGTAGTGTAACTAAGGTATTTAGTTTAGTTTTGGTGCCAATCTGGGTTCTGTATTTTACGACTTAAGGTTGTTATTAACTTATTAATTTTGTAGGAATTGTATTAGTAGGTACACACTAAAAAAAATGTTTTTTTTTTCAGAGTAACTCTACAAACACTCCCTTGGACTACTCTATAGATGCCGGCACTAGACTGCAAGATAACAAATTCAACAAAGCAATAAAGGGATATTTTCGTAGTTTTGTTCCACCAGGTTTGTTAAAAACCTTAAAATTAGGTAGTTAAGTACTTACCTAATTAAATAACATAAATGCAGATCAAGCTTCCTTGTGCATACTGCTAAGGGGTGGAATTCTTTGCTAGTCTGTATTTCCTGAAGAATATAATCTGAGTGTCTTCAAGGCCCGAGTGAATAGGTTGCTTATGGGATGACGTGCTCCAGTGTAGACCACATCATTGCTTACCACCAGGCGAGATAGTCAGACGTGAGCCCATCAAATATAAAAACGATTAAGAATTTAATAAAATAATTTTCAATAAACTAATTTTAACCTCCTTTTTTATTTTAAAGTTGGTTAATTTTTTAAAAACTGCTCCTAACTTCTATGAGTAACACTTCTGAATTGTCTCCGCTCTCACTCCGCTTCAAAATGGGTTCAGCCAATTGCCAAATGATTGCGGACAAACATACATACATTCCAGCCATACTGAACTCCTGTTTCTACTAGTAATAATTTCTCCTAATTAGGGGCCATGGGTACCTATGTGTACATGGTTCTGATTAATGTTCAAACTGTATTTGACCATTAATTAGAACCAAACCGTATGCCATCAACATAAGGTGCATTATCTTAAAAAAATACCTACATTAGGTATTTATTAAACTATAGAATAGAATAGAATAGAATGTAACTTTATTATACACCATTAATAATATACTACATACAGGAAAGGAAATGACAAACATAAAGAAAAATAATAATGGGCACACTATCTCTCTTTTTACAGAGAAAGTGGCTCCACCACACATGGGATTGCTTCAATGGGCTATAGACAAGTCTTACATAGAACAACGTATTGGGAAGGTCATTGTACAGGTAATTATATTATAATAGGGTAGATGAGTAATTTTTATTTTAATATCCGTCTGGTAGATTATTTAAAAACATTAGACACGTACTTTTTACTTTCTTACGGAAACGAATAGTTTCGAAGATAATTGATATTGATTTGAAATATCGCATGACGCCACTTTTGAGTACGATTTATACTCAAAAATGACGTCGCTACCTCCCACTCCTAAACTTTGATTCGTTTTATCTAAGTATTGTTTTCTTATACGACAAAATAATAAAAATACGTGTTTAATTAAAAAGTAATATTTTTTCATTACCTAACTGACGGACTAATTAGATTTTTCATTTTAATACCCTCTCATCCCTATTGTATGTTTTTGTGACTATTGCACTGCAAATATCAACCTTATTCTTTATGGAATAAGATAGATCAAAAATCCTAACTTGATATTAGTTGATATTAGGTAGGAAGGTAATACTGGCTTAAGGAACATGTATTTACTGTCCCTGCAAGCACGGATGATTTTTTAAGTAATTACTAGGCATTAATTAAGGAGTGTAAAGGATGTGATTGTACTTACCTACTGAAAAAAATGAAATTGGTACCTTATCATAGCTGTCTGCCGCGGAGAACTTAACGGGTTGCCTGGGCTCCAGCTCAAAGTGCAGGAGTAGGAACGAGGTGGTTTTTAGTCAGTAAGAGTCTGACACTCCCATAAAATTAACAGTTTGTTATTTTTTTTACAGACGGTGTCATTGATAACTATACCAAAGTACATATCTGAAGAACTGCACACTTTGCACAAGTTCATGATATTGTGCACAATAATTGCACCAATGCCTTTCTTTCTTTCTCATTCTGCGACTTTAATCATGGAAAGAAGATCAGGATTGAGGGTAAGATATTGCTATACTAAAGCTATTTGAATTAAAAGTATAAAGTAAAAAGTATGTTACTAAAAGAATAATTTTTAGTTTATATAAGTAGGTATACTCAAGACTTAAATCATAAACATATGGCTTTCTAGATGTTTGTTGATGTATGTTACTATAATATTTATGTTTACATACAGCGCGAGTGGTACAAAATTACTTAATAACACCAACATGATTCTAAAATAAATTGGATGGAATAAAACATGATTTTGTCAACAATGCTATTTTTAGCTGAATTCATAAAGTGCGCGTGCGCATGGTATTTAAGTTGCCGTAGTACTTCTTTACTTGGTTCACTAGATGGCGTGGATGTTTGATTATTGTAATAATGTTAAGTTTGTTACAAGCGCTAAGAATATGTTAAATCTAAATCTAAAGACCTTCTGTTAAAAGAGTTTAAAGAATTATTTAAAAATAACTTGGAATTAAGTTTGTCTAATTTTCTTAGCTGCATCATAGTTCCAACCGTCACCGCTAGATGTCACTGTGCAGTGACGTCATTTTCTGAATCGCGGTGTTAAGATTCTCCGCGAGCGAATGACCCTCGGCGCGTTAGTCAGTGCGGGCAAGACCTTACTTCATAGGATCATTTCTATAGTAAGCTCTTCTCGAGACTTTCACACTATGTGAGTCCTCACCAGTCACGATGAGGAGACGTGGCGCGGTGCCCTGAGCGTGAGGCGGGCGGTGGTAGATCTACCATCAGCCCTCGATGATCGTTCGCTCCCCTTCACGGGGGAGAGTGGGGTACTGTCGCTGTCTGAGTGGCTGTTTTTAAACCCTTATAAACTATTAAAAATTTAAAATAAAAATAAAGCATCTAATCTTAAAAAAATCCTAAGTTCTGATAATTTTACAACAGTGCTTTTCTAATAGGACTATGCTTGATATTATTAATATTAAAACAACAAGCTGATTATAGCTTGTAGACACCGATTATTATGTTTCTAAACTTTGAACTTTATTGAAAACTCATTTAAGTTGATAATATCTTAAAGAATGCTGCTTTACTAATTGAGTAAACAGAAACTATGAAAAGATAAATTCTAGCATTTCTGGCCTACGTGCTATACCTCTTTCGCTTCTAATGTTTTGCTGATGTTACTATTGACTTCATCTATTTTGAATGAAACCTATTTAGCCAGTGTTCTATGTCCGTCTTAAATTGGGTACTTGCCAACTAGTCAAATTTATTACTTTTTTAGAACTATCAAAAACGACAGTTTTCTATGAATTTTGTATGAGACTGTGTATTGTGACGTCATATTTATATATGTATTACTTCTTAAAAATTAGCTAGAAAAATATTCAAATTAAGTTAGTCATAAAATCAATTAGTGAAAGTGTGATTATTTTTTAATATTTTATTGTATTGAGCAGTCGAAATAATTTATTTATGATTAAGGCAAGTACCCAATTCTTTCTCTAGAAAGGATATTTACATAACATTATGTAGATCACTTCTGTTATTAAACCAATGGCCATACTGTACCTATAGCAATATAACCTATCGATACATTCAGACCTCTGAAAAATATACGAATATTTTTTTCCAAACGTCTTATTATTTATTACATTCAGGAGCTGATGAAGATGTCCGGTATATGTGCTGACATACTCCGGTTCTCACACATCCTGGAGACTTTAGTTATTGGCATATTGTACTGCTTACCTGTAGTTTTTCTATTGAAAGTAAGTACTCTTCACTTTTTTAGTTATTCTGCAGACCTATAGGTATAAGTGGCCACTGCTGACCAATGGCTGCTTCTCACACGGAGAAGGTTTGAGCATTAATCACCACGCTTGCTCAATGCGGGTTGGTGACTTCAAATTAATAATTAGAAATTATAAGTCCAGGTTTCCTCACGATGTTCTTCCTAAACCTTCTCCGTGTGAGAAGAGACTGCTTAGCAGTGGGCATTTATAGGCTGTTGATGGTGATGAATGCGTGTGGGCTTCTGAGTGGTACAGGTCAAAACCTTAAAGTGTAGCTTCTAAAGTAATTAAACTGTCAAACACCAAGCGGTCACCGGTGACCGCAACCTATTGTTGTTTAATTGTGTCTATAAATACGGTACTCGACGAGTTAAATTAGTACTTCATTTGGACTTTTCTTTTTTTCTATTCTAATGATATCTCCTGATTTATTTCGTTGCGGGTTCCAAGACAAGTTATTCATATCCGTGTAACGCGCCGGACTTCAGTGTTCCGGTGTTTTCGTGGTTATATCTACTGTAGATTCTGGCTTACAGGAGTTACAGAGGCTTTGGGAGGTTGTGACGGGCTTAAAGTGCTTAATTTAGTCCAATTCTAATTATAAATATTGTCGGCAGGCCACAGCGGAACCTATATTACCGAACAGCAACTCCCTGATAATAGCATTTACTATAGTGCTGCACTATGTGAACACTATGTCACTGTCTTTTATTACTACTGCTATTTCTCAGGATTGTAAGTATTTTTAGAACTTACAATAACATTAATATGGCTGGATCAATTGATACTGAAAGGCTACTAAATTTTAATATGTTGTACTTAAATGTCTTGCCTATTCTCTATCTCTATTACATATATTAAGTGTGGGAGAGACATGCTTCGGCACGAATGGGCCGTCTCGACCGGAGAGATACCACGGCCTCACAGAAAACTGACGTGAAGCAACGCTTGCGTTGTGTTTCGTCGTGTGAGTGAGGTTACCGGAGACCCAATTACCCTCCCCTTCCCCAATCTCCCTAATTCCTGAATCTCCAACGATCCTCGATCTCCTAATCCCCAAAAGGCCGGTAACGCACTTGTAACGCCTCTGGTATTTCAGGTGTCCATAAGCGACGACCATCAGGTGATTCGTCTGCTCGTTTACCGGCTTATGCCATAAAAAAAACATAGAATTTGTAGTGACAGAAATAGTTATCATCTCTTCTGTCATCTGTCAAGTCATGATAATTAATACTGGTTTATAGAAATAAGATGTCTTCAATAAGTAGACAATGTTTAAGCTACTAGTTAGAAAGGCCTGTGATACAGGACCTTTCTAGTCAGGGCATCTAACTTTATAAGGTCTCCATCGCTTATTGGCTGCCTCGTTGGCCGAGAAGTCGCAAGTGCGACTGCCGGGCACTTGGTCTCAGGTTCGATTCCCGGGTCGGGCAAAGTACTACTCGGTTTTAAAAAAAAATCTCAGTAGTAGCACGGAGTCTGAAATTGTTCCCGGTAGATGGCAATAGGCTCACATAACATAATTAGTGAAAAGTGGGTGTTACATTGTACAGTGAATACCCCTCTGAATACCCCTTCGGGGATATAAGGTGTGATGTTGTGTTACATCGCTTTTTAGGGTATATTTTTGTGTTTTGCTCATTTTATCATTAATAAAGATTATTTATTATTATACTTAGGGCGACTTAAAACTAAGTAGCCTTTCAGTATAGTGTATCAATCAGTATAAAAAATGTGTACAAGTCTTTCGTGACTTATTATATGGCTGACTGACTGATAGCGCACACAACCAATTACTGGACCTAGGAAAATTCAATTTTGAAGTGGATCTTAAAACACGAGCTTAACTTTGACTTTACATTGTATAGTGGCACTAAATGTCGTAATTTACACCTCTGCCTACCCCTTCAGGGTTAAAAGGCGTGATGTTATGTTACTCGATTATGATCTTTCATTTTTATCACACTAATATTATAAATGTGAAATTTTATTAGTTTGTCCATTAATCACACTGAAACTACTGAACGAAATTTGATGTGACTTGGTATACAGGTGGGGCTGACTTGTTGATAGGATATTTTTTATCTCGATTAAATGCTCCTATGGAAGAAAATAGTCGCGGAGAACCTAACGGGTTACCGGGGCTCCGGCTCGACGTGCAGGAGAAGGAACGGGGTGGTTTTTAGTCAGTAAGAGTCTGACACTCCCTCCCTCTCGTTAGGTTTTCCGCGGCTCCGAATAGGCATCAGCCCTATTGGGCCCCATTCGTGGTGGTCTGATGGTTCTTTGAGGCGAGCGCGAAACGCGACGCACCGTACGCTCGGGTCCCGGGCATAGCATAGCGCTCTATTTTATTACCATTTGTAAGACCCATATCCCCGAATACTGAAACGTTACTCAATTTTAAGTCACGCTTAAGTATAGTTCTGTCACTACTAATTCTTTGTGAAATGACAGAGATGGCACGATATTTAAGTACGACTTAAAATTGAGTAACGTTTCAGTATTCCGGCAATAGGCACCTATGTAAACAAATAAAATGATTTGAATGGATTTGACATGGAAAGCAATATAGATTTAAGTATGTAACCAGTAACGGAAGTAATCAATTTACCTCCTTAACCTTTCAGTCCACCACGCGGATTGCGTTGGCTTCATGCTCTACATGTCTACATTCATCTTGGACTGCTTATGGTATTCATATAAACGCTCGTACAAGTTACTCGCGTATTTGGCATGCATTATACTACCTCATGCACCAGTCTATCTCTTCTGGGATGAAGTGCTTTATTTGGAATCTATTGGTAAGTATCTATCGTTCTTTTCATTTTTGACTGTGTTTGCCTAAATGAGGTCTTAGTTTCACAGGTTTAGCTATACTATACGTAGGACTTCAGCCAGCAGCTTCGCCCGCGTTACCCCTTATCTAAATCGATATATATATATATATATAAAAGAAAGTCGTGTCAATTACACTATTTACAACTCAAGAACAGTTACATTGATTGAAAATTGGTGGGGAGGAAGCTTAGAACCAGGAGATGGACATAGCATACCATTTTAACCAAGAATTTCCCGAAAATCCTACGGGAACGGGAAAATACGGGATTTCGCGTACAAAATCGCGGGTAGAAGCTCATCTATGTATATAAAAATGGAACCCGTTTCCCGTTGTCACGCCATAACTTGAGAATGGCTGGACCGATTTGGCTGATTTTTTTTTTGTTGTGTTTGTTTTTGTCAGTAGAAGGTTCTTATGATAGAAAAAAATCTTGAAAATCTTAAGGGAACGGGAGAAAACGGGATTTCGCGTACAAAGTCGCGGGTAGAAGCTCATAATGTTATAAATATGAAAGTTTGTAAGTAAGTATATGTGGAAATGTTTGTTACTTAATCACGTGAAAATGGCTCAAGGTAGGTATCGGGATAAAATTTGGGACAGAGGTAGGTTGTGGTCTTTAGAATAACACATGACCTACTTTTTATCTCATGGGAACACGAATCTTTTGGCAGACGCTAGTTATTTCATAATATTTTTTAGGTGTGGGCTCCAGATTCCGCAATGTATACTCCCGTCACTCGGACAACTTGCTGCCAGTGGCGAGTGTGTGGGTGTTCTTCTACATACACCTCGCTTTCATCACCAGCCTCGCCTGGTACTTGGATCTGGTGAGACCAGGCCCTTTTGGAGTATCCAAACGCTGGAACTTTTTGTTCAAGGTGAATATTGTCTTATTTCTTTTTTGGGTAGGTTGGTTTTCCTGTGCAGGAGCAATGATGCTCCCTTGGATTTCCTTGGGCACCGAGGAAGGTTAACTTTTAATTATTGTAGAAGGTGCCCTTATTTTGAGTTTACCACAATGTTCATTAATGGTATTTTTTAACTGGTGGGTGGGTAAACGAGCAGACAGATCACCTGATGGTAAGCAATCAATACCGCCCATGGACACCCAAAATGTCAGAGAGGTTGAAAGTCTATTGCCGGCCCTTGGATTGGGATTCGGCCTCCGGTAATCTGGACGCAAATGCAAAACATAACACAAGCCCATCAAAGATTTTTACGCAGGTTTTATATGAGATTGTTGTCGAACTGGCCCATTCGTGCGAAAGCATATCTCTCCAAATTTTTGTTAAGGGATCAAAAAGCACCCAATGACTTCTCCAGCTTTGGTTGAGGCAAAAGGGAGTGTCAGACTCCTACTGACTAAAAACCACCCTATTCCTATTCCTGCACTTCGACCTGGAGCCCCGGTAACCCGTCGATGCCTCCGCGGCTCTGTCTCCCATTTGAATTTATTATTTATTTTCTCATTTTCAACAGAGATCATACTGGTTTAGCCATAAAATAAAGCGACGAATAGTAACTCTCCCTGAGACGTATCTCGCTAAACGAGATGAGAAATACTTCGAGAAACTTCCTCAACATGCTGCAATTTCTATTCAGATATACAACGTGTCCAAGGTAATATGGAATTGAATTTTACTGACTGGATGACACGGTCCGTTTTTGATTGATAAATCTGAAATTTAACTGTTTTATTTAGCTTGCCCACTTGTTTGTTTGGATCTAATTTGGTAATAGAAATTTTACGCCCTTCCGACAGATTGATCTGACATTTGGTACATACAATAATATAAATGTGAAAGTTTTTTTTTGTTTGAACGTTTGTCCGAAACTACTGATCGGATTTTGATGAAATTTGGTATACAGGAAGGGTATGGGCTGACTTAGGTGATAGGATACCCGAATAAATGCTCCAATGGGATAAAACAATAATCATATTCTACATGGACGAACTCGCGGACAACAGCTAGTATAATCTACTGTTCTACAACTACTCCCATAATGGATTTGGACTTGAGCTCATTAAACTGTCAAACACTAAACACTGTATAACACACACTATTGTTCTTTAATTGTGTCTATAATTATAGTACTCAAAGGGTTAAAACCGTTTAATCTGAATATTAATAAAAAAAATATCTATTACTTGTTTGACTGTGATCTGTAACTCGCTTGCTAAGAGTGGAATATATGGCAGACCCTCTTATGTAGAGGAGACCTATTCCATCAGTGAACTGAAACGGGTTGTTAATGATTATTACTTTTATGTTAAGCAGATTTAAGTCTAATTTTGTTTTTATAATAACTATCGTAAGACGTACTGAATAAACTAAAAATTACGAGTTACGTAAATATACTGATAAAATCTTTTGGCGATGCGTCGCGTCGCGGCGATGTAGGCTGCGCGACATCGCCGCGACCGCGCACGCTGCTCATGAGGAAGAGTCCCTCTGTTACTCGAAACTAGTAGAGCTTTTCTCAGTATATTTACGTGAGTAACTCGTATGTTTTTAGTTAAGTCTGATTTTTTATATTTAATTTGTGATCTATATTTTCAGTACTGGCCGACTTAAACAGTTTTGGGTGAGTTTTTATAATGTCAACAATACTAATGACTAGTTAGAGGTTTGAAAAAATAATTTAGTATTGGATAAGACCCGTGTATATTCTTAAAAATAAAATTACTCTAGGCTGATAATCCTGCTGATTACTTTTATCGAAAATTGAGATTATGTCAAGGATATATAATCACAGTAATATTATAAATGCGATTTTTTTTGTTTAAATGTTTGTCCGTCAATTACTCTGAAACTACTGAACGGATTTTGATGTTTGGTATAGATAGGCCTACTGGCAGGAAATGGGCTAACTTATGTAAAGGATTTTTATCCCAATTAAAGCTCCCATGGAATAAAACAGCAATCATATTCTACGTGGACGTAGTCGCAGGCAACCGCTAGTCAGTCTTATTACAAGTTACGTGTAATAAATGATGTGTCTATTGCCGTACCCTGAGCATAAATGTTGACTGCACAATTGGCGCAGGGACTGGACAAATGGCTGCTGTGCAACGTATCGTGGGCTCGATTCTCACACGAAACAATTCTTTGTGTGAATGTGAAATTATAATGTTTGTAAATACATCCACGATTCTGGAGAAAATCCTAACGCAGGTCAAATTCAATGTCAAAGTTAAAATCATTTATTCCAATTAGCCTCTCGCGCGCCTCTCGTACACACCGGTAAACGCGCGTTCTCGTACACACGGGTAAATATTTCAATAGAAAAGCGAATTAACTAATCTATTCAATCAAATAAAGAACGGGTTGCAAACTTGAAAATATACGTCACAGAAAAAATATCCAATCGGTGCGCGTTTCTCGTACACCCGTGTGTACAATTGCGCGATGGGCACTCAACTCTCTCGTACACCCGTGTGTACGAGAAACACGCGAGAGGTTAGACTAGGAAGGCACTTTTAAATGTCAACAAAAATTAAAAGTGAAGCGTGGGCAGAGTTTTCTTAAAAATATTTATCCATGGTAGGTAGGTTATAGGCATACCATTATGATAAAAATGTGCTCTAAAAGCAATTCAAGAATAAGAAAAGTAGTTAATACCTTGTTTTCAGGTATTCAAGGGTAAAGGATCGGAGCTGTCTACTGTCACAGCGGACGTAACGGCTTTAGATTCCGTCAGTTTTGATTGCTATCAAGGCGAGATCACATTAGTTTTAGGAGACAATGGTGCCGGTAAAACCACCCTTATGCACATCGTTGCAGGTTTGAATTTTGTATGATTTGAATATTTTTAAAGAGTTTTTCTTTCATAATATAACATCACGCCATTTAGTCACGAAGGGGTAGGCAGAAGTGGCCATTAGGGCACTTAATGCCACTGTACAATGTCACACCCACTTTTCACTATTTATGTTATGAGTCCCATGTAATAGGGGGTGAGCCTATTGCCATATACTGAGCACAATACCAGACTGCGTGCTACTATTGACATTTTTTTTAACTCAGTAGGTAATACTTTGCCCGACCCGGAAATCGAATCCGAGGCCATTGAATAATTATTAAGATTTTATTGGAAATTGCATTGATATTGATATTGGCTTTTATATAAAGGGTTCCATAGCCTAGCAGTGGTTAGTTTTAGTCAAATTTCCGTGGTGCTTGGCGACTGGACTTCTCCCAGTTGTACAGTCTCTTTTTGTGCCTTCAGGCTTAATTTATTCCGTCTCCTGCATTAATTCACTGAGAATAGTGGAAACTCGTTTTCGTCTTCTTCTCTTATAGTATACCTAGTTATCTTCTGATTTATTCGTTGCGGGAACCAAAACAGTTACACATGTCTCTGAGACGCGCCAGACTTCAGTGTTCCGGTGTTTTCATGGTTTTATTTACTGTAGATCGTAGCTTACAAGAGTAGTCGCGGAGAACCTAACGGGTTACCGGGGCTCCAGCTCGATGTGCAGGAGAAGGAACGGGGTGGTTTTTAGTCAGTAAGAGTCTGACAGGCGGGAGCAGTCATTAGATGATTTGACGGGAGCAGTCCCATAAATAAAGTGTAGTAGTGGACTGTTAAAGGCTTTTGATAAGATGGAATTCGACTATCTAGCATGATACCATGATTCTGATCTGACTGATCTGCCATAATTCCAGGCATGGTAGGACCAACTTGCGGAGCAGTATTTGTGAACGGTATCAATGTGGCTCACAGAATAATGGAACATCATGAGGACTTAGCACTATGCATGCAAGACAACATCTACTTCAATTTCCTCACCGTCAGGGAAAATATTTCCTTTTACAAAAAGGTTTGTCATTTACTCGTCTTATTTCGGAGTAGCTCGATTATTTTCGAGCGTGTCTGGGTCCCATAATCTTGGGTTGATGACGCAATGTATCCATCAGCAAGCAAGTAAACAAGTATCTCTGTAACGAGCAGCACGGTTTTAGGAGCAAGAGGTCAGTCGATACAAATCTCCTAACTTTAGTGGACTACATCTCATTTAGTTTGGATCGGGGACGTCAGGTAGATGTACTTTACTTTGACTTCCGGAAGGCCTTTGATAGAATAAATAACGACACACTGCTAGAGAAGCTTAACAAAATAGGGTTTTCCCCATCTCTCCTACATTTCTTTGCAGACTATCTACGCGATCGAAAACAGTTTGTCAAACTTGGTATGTACGTGTCGGATGCCTATCATACGCGGTCTGGTGTAAGTCAGGGCTCGATTTTGGGGCCTTTGCTGTTTCTTATCATGGTCAATGATCTTCCTCAAATTCTACTCCATGCAAAGTGCCTCTTATATGCGGATGATCTGAAACTATACTTGGAAATAAACTCTGAGCGTGACAGCTTGGCACTTCAGCAAGATATTGATGCAGTATACAAGTGGAGCGTGGATAATAAGATGGAGTTTAACTCATCCAAGTGCTATGCTATGACATTTTGTCGAAAGCGGAACCCAATCAACTTCGATTACAGTTTAAATAATTGCAGTATTACAAAGTCGACAGTCATGAAAGACCTGGGAGTGACATTTGACCAAAAACTTACTTTCCATGACCATATAACCACTATAGCAAAGCAATCCTTCCAAAGGTTAGGTTTTGTATTGCGTAATTGTCGTGATTTTCGCACCGCTCATGCCATTAAGATCATATTTAATGCTCTGGTTCGTAGTAAGTTGGAAACCAGCTCGTGTGTATGGAATCCTCACGAAAGTACCTACACCCTACTCTTAGAGAAAGTTCAAAAAGCTTTCCTTAGGAATTTGTACAAGCGAATGCACGGTTACTATCCCTACCTCTATCCGACAAAATTTTTATTGGGTAGTCTTGGATATAACTCACTAGAGGTAAGGAGAGCAAGAAACCAACTTGTAGTAGCCTGTAAAACCCTCCGTGGCGCTATTGACGCTCCAGACATACTGGAGTCACTATCACGTTTTTACGTTCCAGACAATTACTGCCGGGGTAAAAAGCACAGATTGTTTGCCGTACCCTCATGTCGTACCGTAGCACGTGCTAAAGCACCGATTCCTCGCACTCTGGCCGCGCTCAATGGTCTCTTGGATTCCAATCCAACTAGTGATCTGTTTGCGGACGGATGGAAGGAGATTTTATCGGAATGCCTGAAGTACTGCGAGAGGAACTTATGAATGGTACCATTTTTTTAAAAATAAGTTTTACTCTTCTGGTTCATTGTATATGTTTTGTTCCAGTTTTAATGTTTGATTGTTAATTTTATTAATGTGTCCAGTTACTTTAATTGGTTTTTGTTCTCAACCGTTGTGACTGTAATAATAAATAAATAATAAATAAATCATCAAATTGAAATAGTGTAATGAGTCCTATCTGTGAGGGTATTATACATCAGAGAACACCGTACTATACAATATAATATTAATTTCACTAGGTACTTATAATATTGTCCTAACATAACATAACATCACGCCTTTTATCCCCGAAGGGATAGGCAGAGGGGCACATTACGGCACTTATGCCACTGTACAATGTATGAGTATGTTATGAGTCCCATGTAATAGGGGGTGAGTCTATTGCCATATACCGGGCACATTTCCAGACTCCGTGCTACTACTGAGATTTTGAAAATTCCAGTAATACTTTGCCCGACCCGGGAATCAAACCCGAGACCCCTTGCCCGGCAGTCGTACTTGCGACCACTCGGCCAATGAGGCAGTCATTATATTAATCTACTATAATATTATAAATGGTTAAGTTTGTTTATTGTTAATCGTTCACGTCAAAATAGTTAAAGAAATGGAGATTAAATTTGGAATGGGGTACATTATGTCTGGAATACCACAGGCTACTCTTTATTGGATGAAACCGCTGGCAGAAGCTGTAAGCAGAAGTTGTATATAGAAAAGTTGTACCTTTTTCAATTAGTAAGGATCAAATTTAGCACTGAAATGAGATGGTTTACGTTCCTTCGATATAGCAAGAGCAAGAGTATAGATAATATAGATTACAAATAATTAAATCTAATCGTATGTTCTCTATGGCAGTTACAAAGGAACACGCAGGATAATGATTCGGGCTTCACATTGCACCAAATCATGAAGAAGCTGAAGCTGTATGATGTAGCCGACAACTATTGCTCACAACTTAGCTCAGGAACCTTACGGTGTGTGCAGGTATGTTAATTTTTTTTTTTTCGGACCACTTGTAATTCAGCACGCTAAGGCTGTTGACTACTTAACCGGACAAAAATATGTCTTACCTTATATTCTTGTACTAATTATATAAACCCGAGGCCTTAGTACGAGTTCCTTTTTCGTTAAAAGTAATCGTAATGAGTAAGCGTTCGGCGCTGCGATTGGCCGGCTCTAATGAACCAACCAATTAGAGCACAGAACGCCGTCTCGTTTCAATTACTTTAAACGAAAAACAAACTCGTACTAACGCTTCAGAAGAGATTGTTTGTTTGAACGCGCTAATCTCAGTAACTACTAGTCCGATTTCAAAAAATGATCTTGTATTTGATAGTCCATTAATCGAGGAAGCCTGTAGGTATACAGGAGCCGCGCAGAAGTAGTTAGTATATTATATTTCTTTTACTTACTTCAATTGAAAATGCTCGACTAATATCAAGACAGACCGGGTTTTATAATCAGTGCAGTGCAAAGCGCGCTCGTATACGGTCGTGCTTACAATACTCGCGAATCGCGCGGTACTAGCCGAAAAAAGCGTGCAAGAAGTTATCACCTCGCTGAAGGTGACAGATCCTGACAACGTGTCTGCATTCGTGGCAAAGGACTTGCACTAGCTGCCCCCTGTCACCTTTGATCACGTCGATGTTACCAAGTTACTAAAGGACATCGTATCCTTGAAGACAAGCCTGGCCAAGGTACAGTCCAAGCTGATGTCATCGGAGAACTTTGGGTGGAGTTAATGGCATTACGCAACACTGTTGCTGGAAGTGGCTCACCGACACCGAGCACCGACAATGCTAACATGAACGGCGCGACGGTGCATCTGTCGGCAATTTCGAATCGGCGGCGCCGCGTGCCACGCCACGTGCACGCGCTGCAGTGAGTCATCCCGCCGAACGGCTAGCGCCTTCGACACAGGCTACGACACGTGTGAGTACGTCAACCGCCAATCGTGGTTACGCTGCCATAGCTGCAAAATTGGTAGAAAGAAGAGGAAGCCTACTTGCCACAATCAGTGCGGTACCGCATTTAACATCAACAACATCAACAGTCTATAAATGCCCACCGCTGAGCAAAGCCTCTTCTCACACGGAGAAGGTTTGCGCATTAATCACCACGCTTGCTCAATGCGGGTTGGCGATTACAAACTTATAATTAGAAATTATAAGCCCAGGTTTCCTCACGATGTTTTCCTTCACCGTTTGTCAGTGGTGTCTGAATAATCTTAGAAAGTACATATAACTCGGAAAAAGTCACATTGGTACTTGCCGCTGGTAGGTTTCTAACCCGCACTGTCATGCATGAGAAGCGGGCGTCTTAAACCTCCGGGCCACCACGACAATTTTTTTTTATAGCACTTTGAAATGTCGAATTATTGACAATACATTAAAATTGGATTAGTCCGGAGTTCATTATTGCTGTTACGCTTTATACCAAATTGTCGGCAATGGTATGGGTTACATATTTACTGTAGCTGTTGTTTAGTGTAAGGCTTTTTATGTAAATTTTTAATATGTAACTGTTTTTTGTCCCTTAAATAAATAAATGAATACACTCTGAAGTTGAAATTTTTTTAAAAAGTAAATATAATTTGAGGAAACCTTGTATTTTAATATCTCTATTTAGGTCTACCATCAGTAAGGCCGATTTAGTTTACCTACCCACCATGACCTGGTATGAAGTCGGAAAAAAGTAATGCTGTATTGTTTTAGGTGGCCTGTGTGTTGGCTGTATCCCCTGATGTCTTAGTATTGGACGAGCCCACCACTGGTATGGACATAGACGTTAAGCATCGACTCTGGGATATGCTTTTTGTAAGAAAATTCACTTACTCATCATTAGCATCGACCAGCATTCGTCCATGAATAAAGTTTACTTTTTTTTTAATTTGTGGAATTCCTCATGGATATCCTTTGTCTAGATGATGTGTCTCAGACAGTTAGTTACATCGGACTTTTATTCAAATTCAAATTCATTTATTGTTTGTTACATGTTGACAATATATGTTATATATATTATAATAATAGTAGCATAGTAACATACCTATAAGGTGTACAATAGTTTATGTTATTTGAATTATTCTACTAGTCTCAAAATATTACAAAATTTTTGTTGCATCAGTTAAATCATTACAATAAAAATATGTCAAGTCATCACCTTATGTCGCGGAGAACCTAACGGGTAACCGGGGCTCCGGCTCGACGTGCAGGAGAAGGAACGGGGTGGTTTTTAGTCAGTAAGAGTCTGACACTCCCTTCCGCCTCACCCAGGCGGGAGCAGTCATTCGATGATTTTCCCCCCTTAATAAAAAAAAACACCTTACATTATAGAATATAACTGAATTATTACAATAATTTATTAAACCTTGGTCAAATTATTATATATTTACCGAGGATAAATTCAATTAGCCCCCTTTCCGATCCCAAAAATCCCAAATCCCTAAAAATCTCAGCAAATGCTGCCATGGATGGCACCGACTGCGTATTATCAACCACTGAACTGCTCTTTAACCTCTCTATTCCATAAAACTGTAACTTTGTATACTATACAGGTGCTCCGTTCCAAAAAGACAATAATAATGACAACGTCTTGCTTGGAAGAGGCGTATGCGTTAGGAGACAGGATCGTTATACTACAGAACGGAGCGCTCAAGTGTCACGGGTCTCCTACCTTCCTAAAAGACGCAATTGGTGAGAGAAAGTTATCATCTTATACCATTATATAAAGATGCCTCGTTGGCCGAGTGACCGCAACTGCAACTGCCGGGCAAGGAGTCTCGGGTTTAATTCCCGGGTCGGGGAAAGTATTACATGGTGTTTTAAAAAAAATCTCTGTAGTAGCACGGGGTCTGGAAATGTGCCCGGTGTATGGCAATAGGTTTACATAGGACATTTTATAGGAGGAGTATTACATGGGACTCATAACATAAATGCCAATGCCATTAAGTATCGCAATGCGCATTTCTGACTACCCCTTCGGGTATAAAAGGCGTGATGTTATATATATATACAGTTTTTCACCAATACAAAAAATCACTATAGAAAAAAAATTGTTCAACAGGAATGAGTTTCAGCTTATCAATAACTATAAAAGACGGTACTCAAATGATGAAACTCAAGGAAACAGTGGAAGATATCATACCAAACCTGAGGTGCAGGATCGAGGATATGAGAAATGTCGTATTTTCACTGCCAACCAAGGAAACCCAGAACTTTCCAAAAGTGTTCAGAACTTTGGAGGAAAAGAAAGAAGACTTGGGAATACAGCTTATAGATGTTGGAATGTTCATGGAGGAGGTTTTTATGGAGTGAGTGTCTTTAACTGTGAGTGATAAATGTTCAATTGAAGGTTGGTGCTGCAAGCGTGGGAGAGAGCAATTTCAAGTGTGGGAGTACCATGCTTTGGCACTAAAGGGCCAGTTCCACCGGAGTCCACGGCCTCGCAGACAACCGACACGAAACAACGCTTGCGTTGTGTTTCGTCGTGTGAGTGAGGTTACCGGAGGCCCAATTACCCTCAAACTTGGAATCCCCAATAATCATCAAAAGGCCGGTAATGCACATGTAACGCCTCTGGTGTTTCGGTTGTCAATCGGTGGCGCCGATTGCTTATCATCAGGTGATCCGTCAGATCGTTTACCGGCTTATTCCATATAAAGCCTGTAACTCCATTGGTGTTACTAGTGGGTGGCGCTGATCATTTTTTCATTAGGTGATCCATCTGCAAGTTTCACACTTCTTCCATAAAAATGGCTTCATAAGATGTGTGTCTTCAATAATATTTTTTTTGTTATAGCTTATTTGAGCACAGTTGCTGTAAAATGTAGTTGTGTTGTAATCAAACTGGTGTCTCGATATTATAATTTGATACTTATTTTATGTGTAATTTACAGGTTTATTGAAAAACCGGATGAAAAATATTCAGGAGTAGCCGATAGATCTCATCTGAGTACGTTGTTTGTTCATATATTTCAATAAAACTCGCGTTGTGAACTTATGCGTGTATATTACAATTAGGAAAAAATTATACATGAATTTCGTGGGGTTGCGTGTGCGCGCAATGGCGGAGCTCCGTGAAGTGACGCGGCGTCGCTAGTGGCGTGGGGATCGCGGCTCGCCCGCGCGCCGTCATGGCCGACGGTTGCGCGTAAAGCCGAAAACACACTTGCGTGAACATCCTCCCGCGCCTTGAAACCTCCTGTTTCAATCTTCAAGAGTCGTCGTCGAATAAAGGGCAGATACGACTCACTGCTCTGCGAACGATGCCCTTGTTAATTCTGACGTCTGCTACTCGACAGGCTCCATCGGAACCTGGGTAAACAGACTCGATCCTTCCCAGAGGCCAATTCAAAGGTGGGGTAGCCTCTTGCTTGATAAGTACTAGTTGACCAGGCGCCAGGTTAGGGTGGCGCTTCTGCCACTTGGTGCGCTGCTGTAGCTCGCAGACGTACTCGTGGCTCCATCGACGCCAGAAGTGTTGCCTGGCCTGCTCGATCCTCGCGTACCGATGCAGGCTGCTGGGGTTGGCTTCCAGCAGATCGGGCGCTGGCAGCGCTGTCATCGTCCTCCCAATAAGGAAGTGCCCTGGGGTGAGAGGGGACAGATCGTGAGGGATGGTAGAAAGAGGAGAAAGGGGCCGTGAGTTTAGGATAGCTTCGATTTGAGTGAGCAAAGTGGTGAGCTCTTCAAAAGTAAAATGGGATTCACCCAAGGCCCTTTTCAAGTGGTACTTAGCAGACTTTACAGCTGCCTCATGCAGACCCCCAAAGTTTGGAGAGTAAGCAGGTAGAAATTTAAATTTAATGCCTTCTTCTGCAAAAGGCTCTGACACAGAGTTACCGTTAGATCTTAGAAATGCACCTAACTCGCGACTGGCACCGACAAAATTTGTACCATTATCGCACCATATTTCTAGAGGTTTGCCCCTTCTACTTATAAAACGACGTAAAGCTAGAATAAACGCCTCTGTACTGAGACCACTTACTATTTCTAAGTGTACAGCCTTAGTCTTAAAGCATACAAAAACACAAAAAAACATTTATTTAGTTTAGCTCCACGACCCTTCTTATCACTATATAGAAATGGACCAGCAAAATCAGTACCTGTAACTTCGAATGGATAACCTGGACTTAACCTAGGAGAGGGTAAGTTACCCATTATTTGCTTAGCAACTGCTCCTCTCATACGAGTACAGAGAATGCATTTTCTAAAAACCTTTCTAGCTAATGCTCTCCCTCTAATAGGCCAGTACTTTTCACGAATAAGTGAGAGAAGAAGTTGTGGACCAGCATGCATGTGTAAAATATGATAATAATTAAACAATAAAATTGCAAAGTGATGATTAGAATCAATGAGAGCGGGGTGCTTCTTATTATATTCAAATTGTGAGTTTTCCAATCTACCTCCAACTCTCATTAATCCATCCTTATCAATAAATGGACTCAAACTAAGTAGTGGAGCTACTTTACATTGCTTATCAAAATTTGGAAAACTTTCTTGTTGTGCAATATACACTAACTTATTCTCTGCACATTCTAATTCTTCTACACTTAACATTAGCTTATTCTTATTACTAGGATTCTTAATATTATTATAGAAACGAAATACATATGCAACAATGCGTCTTAATTTCGTAAAACTGGAATATCTTTTAATATCAATTACAAAGTTAGAAGATTGTGTCTCATTGACACCTGCAACATTTACACGTACTTCAGGCAGTGTTGCATAAGTTACGTTGCTACCTACTTGACTTGGCCAACATTCTTCCCCATCGTGAATGAATGTAGGTCCCTGCCACCATAGTGACAACATCTTTACTTCATGTGGGAAAACACCACGAGAGGCTATGTCAGCTGGGTTCTGTGATGTAGGGACATACAGCCATTTGCTGTCATTACATAGCTCATTGATAGATACAACACGGTTAGCAACAAAAGTTTGCAGTTTATGAGAAGGCGTGCACAACCAACCCAGTACTATTTTAGAATCTGACCAATATGTTTTCTTAGAAATATGACAACGTAGTGATTTACAAACTTTCTCGCATAAGCGAGCAACTAAAAGAGCACCACAAAGTTCCAACCTGGGTATGGTTGTAGTCTTCAGTGGCGCCACCTTAGCTCTAGCGGACAGTAGCCGTACTGTACAATTGCCTAGAGCATCAGTTGACCTCACATACACACATCCAGCATAAGCTTTCATGCTGGCATCCGAAAATGAATGTAACTCAATGGTTACAGGATTTGCACAACAAACATTTCTAGGTATATCTATAGTTTGTAAGTGAGATACATTATCAATAAAATTTCTCCACATTTTATTGATGTTAGGTGGGCTTTCGTCATCCCAAGATAGTTTTTGAGACCATAACATTTGTAAGATTATTTTACATACAATAGTACAACAACTTAGCAAACCTAAAGGATCAAATAAACTAGAAGTAAGAGACAGAATGGAACGCTTAGTAAATGGAGTATCATTGTTACAATCATATAGCTTAGAGGAGACCATCAAAATTTTGTCAGTGTTAGGATTCCATTCTATGCCTAGCGCATGACCTGGTGATGACATAATCTTTAAGTTTTCTTGCTCAGAGTTACTTGTGGTTGAAATAGAATTTATAAATTTACTAGAATTACTTTTAATTTTACGCAAATTGAAACAAGCTGATTCTAATTTTACAATGATCTTTTGATATATTTCTGCCAGAGTGGACTCATCATTACATCCAGTAATGAGGTCATCAACATAGAAGTCATGTGCCATCACTTCCTTGACCAACAAGTCATCACACTCTTGGCTTAGCTGGATTAAACAACGTGTACTTAGAAAGGGTGCCGATGAAGTTCCATAGGTTACAGTATTGAGCTGTAAGTATTTCATGGGCTCCTCTTCGTTTTCACGCCACAAAATAACCTGCAAGTATCTCTGAGATTCATCTACTAGAATTTGACGGTACATTTTCTCAATGTCACCAGTAAATACATAGGTATGCTGTCGAAATCTAATCAATATTGAGAAAATGTCATCTTGAACTGTAGGCCCTACCATGAGCAAGTCATTCAATGAGAGACCTGATTCGGTTTTCGAAGAAGCATTGAACACTACTCGACATTTTGTCGTTTCGCTTTGTGCTCTTAGAACTGGATGATGTGGTAATAGATTTACCGGGTCAGGTCGCTCCACTACAGATAAATGACCTAGGCTAGCATACTCATTGATAAAGCTTACATACTGTTCCTTTATGTCAGGTTGCCTTTTGAATCGCTTTTCTAGTGAATGAAAACAATGCTTGGCACGAGCATAGGAATCACCTAATAGTTCTGGTTTATCGCGCAAAGGCAACGTGACACAAAATCTGCCGTCCTCCATGCGGCGTGTGTGCTGCACGAAGTGGTCCTCGCACGCACGTTCCTCTGCTGTCAGCTTTGATGTCTCTGGCAGCTCCTCCAGCTCCCAGAACTGCTTCAGTTGTTGTTGTATGGCTCGACTGAAATTGCAGTGAATTTCCTTACTTGGTACATAGTTAGGACACATGATAGGTCCCACTACTAACCAGCCAAATTGGGAATTTTGTAGTACAGGTTGATTAGAATTTCCCAACTTGATTTGATTAGTAGGACAAATCACATCCCAAAAAACATCAGCTCCCAACAACAGATCAATTTGCGAAGGGTTATAGAATGTAGGATCTGCGAGTGTGACATTCTTTGGCATGTTTAGTGTTGATACATCAACTTTAGAATTAGGTAAGGTACTTGTTATCTGTGGTATAACAAATGCCTTGATATCTTTACAATATGAATTAGAACGTGATTTAATAGTAATGTTACAGCATTCTAGAGCTGCACATGTCATATTATTAATGCCAGTTATAGATACAGAATTAATCGATTGGCTATTAATACCTAGTTGGCTTTAAGAGACTCCGATATGAAGGAGGATTGACTGCCACAGTCCAATAGACAACGGACCTCATGGCTTTGCTTCTTGTTACTTAATATAACAATTGCTGTTGATAGAAGTACCTGATTTTCGATACAGGCTGATAGTGCAATTGGATTGCACACATTGTTAGTAACATTAGAATTGTCGTTATGTTCTACCTTACTAGAACCAGACATGTTATTTACTTTGTCGTTATGTTCTACCTTATGAGAACCAGACATATTATTATTTACTTTGTGCAATAAGGAATTGTGTTTCCTTTTACAGAATTTACATGGAGTGGAGGTACATTGACTAACGAAATGCCCACTCCTTAGACAATTTGTACATAACTTATGTTTAATAACTTCAGCATTTCTACCGTCTATTGTCATACTATTAAATTTTTCACAGTAGTAAATTAAATGGTTATTACCGCATATTACACAGGATCTAGATTTACTTGTATTGTCTTTGCAAGCTGTAGCAACAAACATCTTGTGAGGCTGCTTTATACGAGATGCTTTGTCATTCAACTTTTCATGAGTGCTGGCAGGATGTTTGTTACTGTGGCTTGCGTCATTTACCATTTCTAAAATGTCGGCAGTGTTTCTAAGAAAACTGTAAAACTGATCTAATTTGGGTTTGTCTGGTAAACTACTTTTATATTCCTCCCATTTAGTGGAGGTGACTAAATCTAATTTTTGACTGAATAGAAAGATTATTAATGTATCCCAATTCTCGGTTTTTTCATTCAAACTGGTCAATGCCCGAAGGTGCTTCGAAATATGATCAATGATTGTTCTTAACGCTGATGCAGATCTCTTTATGGTTGGAATGTTCATAAGCGACAATAGATGGTTGTGTACTAGTTGATTAGTATTGTGGTAACGATCACAGATCAATTTCCAAGCTATGGTATAATTACATGCAGAAATCTCCAGTGATTCTATTACAGCAGCTGCTTGACCCGATAGTGATAGTTTTAAGTATTGGAATTTATTTATATCATTAAGTTTAGGATTATTGTGAATTAAGGAATTAAATGTATCATGGAACTCAAGCCATTTGTTGAAATTACCATCAAAATTTGGCAATTTAATGGTAGGCAATTTGATGCAATTAATATTCTCACTTTTCTCACTGTCCGAATGAATACTTTGAAAACTATTTTGAAAATTATTGAATTTGAATATTAACTCCTGCGCTAAACTAATTTGACTATAGAAACTGCTTTCTGTCAGATCCCTGTCTGAGTTCAGTTCCTCAGTGGAATCTAGAAGCTCAATTTTAATTTGCACTTCATCATATTCATTGAACAATGATTCTATTTTGGTTAATCGTAACTTTAATTCTAAAAACTGTTGTTTTGTAATTGTAGATGGATCCTGACATTCAAAATTACCTAAATATTTCTTGAAACTAGTTAGTCTAGCTTTTATAGAACCTCTTTGCCGTCTCAAGTCTTTTAACTCCGTGTCAGACATAATGCAGAAGTACACTGGCCACCAAAATAGTAATAAAAATTCGCTAAATACCTGCTAGCTCCACTCAAACCTGGCTATCACCCATGCAGCAGCTGCAAACCAGCGTCAGCAATCCACTCGTTGGGATCCTAGGCCCCGCGTCTCGAAGATTCGACACGTGGCGTAGGCGCGGGCGCGGCGATAGGTGCGCGGGGAGGGGGAAGTTCGTCCGGTACAGGCGTCGCTCGCCTCGTGTGCCGGCGCGCGCACTATGTATTACCTACGTATACCTAGGTACTCTAGGTAGTTCCCGTAGGTAGGCGCGTGAGCTGAAATTGGTTATGACATGCGCTGTAATGCAGTGCGAAGGCTAGTGTAGCGAATTTACGGAGAAATTGACTCAAGTTAGTTATGTATAGGCTAGAATTTCAATGCAGAATGGCAATGAAATAGTTACTAGACGGTTAGATGGGATGCAATTTTAGTTACTTTAGGGTTACAGGCTGGGCAATCATTCGCGTGAATGAATATGTGCGCTTCAGCTAGCTGTAACAATGACTCCACCACTCCACCCAGATATGCCAAACACACGCTACCCGGCTACCGAAACTCTAAGCAATCACACACAATGCTCACAACAAATGAAGAATAGGAAACGGGTAGTCTAGAAGGTAGGATAAAGGAACGGGCACACCTTATTTCCGATGTAACTTTGCTGCCAGGCCCTGGATTCCGCTGCGTCCAACCTCGACTGGTCCGTACTTCCGTTACTTCTTCAATCTTCACTGTTTCTGCGCTTCCCGCACAGAAAATCGTCCTGTCACGGTCGCCATAAATTGTTTGTTCATATATTTCAATAAAACTCGCGTTGTGAACTTATGCGTGTATATTACAATTAGGAAAAAATTATACATGAATTTCGTGGGGTTGCGTGTGCGCGCAATGGCGGAGCTCCGTGAAGTGACGCGGCGTCGCTAGTGGCGTGGGGATCGCGGCTCGCCCGCGCGCCGTCATGGCCGACGGTTGCGCGTAAAGCCGAAAACACACTTGCGTGAACATACGTATTACTAAGAAAACTAAACAGTTCTATTATGAAAGCACACAGTAGCGTAGTCACGTTGTTGTTTGCTTTGGTTACTCAACTAATTTGAAGCCACAAAAAAGATGACACACCTAACTAGTTGTCATGTATCCTGCTCACTATTATAGGCCCCAGTGTGGCTAGAGATTAATCGAGGAGCCTCGTAGAACAATTACGTGAATGAACTTTACAACTGTTTATGTACTGTGTAATTCTGTTCCATTTGTTTGTCCACTTGTTTTTTTAATCGATTTATTTTAATTTATTATTTATTTATAAGTCTTTAGAGCCGCTAAACTGGAAGGCATACATCTGCTCTGGTCACGCATCAAGTTGTTACACCAACGTACATACGACTATTTGGTGATGAAGAAAATACAGTTCCTGTCAATTGTACGATTTTGTTTATATTTTTTTAACGCAGAAGTGTTAGTTTTTACCCGACTTCAAAAATAGAAGGAGGTTCCCCGTTTGACCTGTATGTATGTATGTTTGTGCGCGATTATCTCACGATTGGCTGAACCAATTAGAAAAGTGTTAGTTACACTTGGGAGAATGTTTTAGTATATTTATTAAAAATTTCAAAAAAGGAGGTTTTTGAAAGTAGTTGGCTAATAATAACAAGTGATGACTAATTCAAAAGAATTATATGATGTACGGCAACGTATGATGTAAACGTATGATGAACGGCAGAGTAGAATAAATACCGGTACTCTTCGAGGAGTATTGTAACAGCCGACTGAGAGAATATATATTTAACAGAGACCAAGCAGTAGCTTTCTTGATAAATCTAAACTTTAATACCGCTGTCTCCAACCTTCTTGCCAAGGTGAGTGAAGTAGAGTGAGTGAAGATTATGGCAAATACCCCCTATAAAGAGGGAGCCTTTAGTCTCATAGGTTTACTGATGTGTTTCAGAGTCAGTATTTTGAATTTTCTTCCTGACCTCATTAAACTTATTTTCCATTGACAGCGTATGTTGGTCCCAATTCTATGTCTAATAATAATGACGGTGACATCGAACTATTCCCTGAGGGCAACTAAAATGTTTACACACCATGTCTCAGGGGAGGACGAAAAATTAGGCCTCAATAAATTGGTGTATAATGTTGGACCTTTCAGAAGACAGAGTCTGTATAATGCAGCTGAGAAATTCCCAGGATTAAAACTTGTGTATGCACTGGATATTGATCGAGGTATGAATTAGTTTCAATATTGTTGATTATTTATGGCATGTGTAATTTTCGAGCATGCTCGACGATTTTCAAGTTACAGTCGGGGCTCTTAGAATCCGTATACAATAATTATCGTGCTACATACTATGTAAATTAACTAAAAATCGCGCGTTACCCACGTGAATATACCGAGAAGAGCGCTACTAGTTCCAATTACCCAACAATCTCCCCAATCACTGAACCCCCAACAATTCTCAAACTCCCCCAAAGGCCGGTATCGCACTTGTAACGCTTCTAGTGTTCCGGATGTCCATGGGCGACGCCAATTAATTGCTTATCAGGTGACCCGTCTGCTCGTTTACCGGTTTATCCCATAAAATAATAATAATTAATTTTCACTTTAGTAAAGTCTGACATTTCATTACAATTTTCTTCACAGAGTTCCAAAACCCGAAATCAGGGTTTTCTGCTAAAGACATAGCTGGCTTTAAAGTAACCGACAGGTTTAGTAAAATATTTCATCCAAGGGATTTGAATTCAACCTCACAATCGGTGAACATGTTCAGTAATATCTACATGTCTATGTTTCTACCGAACATGACCCATGGTATACGTACGTCGTACAAACCAATTTTGAGAAATAATACAAAGAAACCGAAAATAAATGTGCCAAAAAGCATCTTTTTGTGCATGAAGTGGAGCGTATGGGTTTCTATATGTAAGTAAATATTTATAATTAATCTTATGGCTACCATTAAAACACCTTGATACTTAGCGTGACGTAGAACCTACACAAACCCCTTTGCAATACAACTGTTACTTATTGGCTATGTGCAAAGCTAGTAGTGGCGGACAGATAACGACCGCAGCGCACAACACGGCAGAAATTGGAAACAAATGCGGATTATGCAAACCCGGTTTTTATAATTATATTCATTTTATAGTATAACTATTGAATAAATTGCACTTAAATAATGTCAACAATACTATTTTAATCTTTGGTTTTATTTATATTTGCAAAGAAAATTATATTTTTTATTTATTTATTTTTATTTATTTAAGTTTTATACAATTGCATAAGGAAGACTTAATGCTAACAGCATTCTCTGCCAGTCATCCTTTAGGTAGTGCAGAAATGTATGTGGTAGGTGGTAAGCTGCAAAACTGTTATGAGAAATAGTGGTAATTATAATGTTTACATTGTTATTATTTGACAGCTTCCGCAAATGTTGTAAACGCTACGCGTCGCCACCGTCGCGCACATAGCCAATAGGTTCGTTAAAACCAAAATTAAGTTAAATGTCACCTATTTTTGTTTTGGTGTTTCTTAATATTTAGGAGAGTTGGTGACATTGGCCTACCTAATGTTTACTTCATCATCATTATCAACTGCCTATAAATGCCCACTGCTGAGCAAAGCCTCTTCTCACACGTAGAAGGTTTGAGCATTAATCACCACTCTTGCTCAATGCGGGTTTGTGATTTCAAACTTATAATTAGAAATTATAAGTCCAGGTTTACTCGCGATGTTTTCCATCACCGTTTGTCAGTGGTGTCTGAAACATCTTAGAAAGTACATATAACTCGGAATAAGTCACATTGGTACTTGCCATTGGTAGGCCCTCAATACTATGTACTATGTACTAATGTTTACTTAAGTACTAAGAAAAATGTAACATCTTTTAATTTTATTGAAGGGTTGTAGCTAGGTACCCAGTTTATTGATTGTAACATCCACTTTTCCGATTGGGTATGTTATGAGTTGATCTTGATAATTTTTGTTTTCAAAATCTCTTCATTTGTGCCTGTAACATCTTTTTCTATCTTAGTTTTTTCTCAAGTAAGTATGTATCTGCACTGAGTCTTTAACTTCGGCTGAATGCCAGTATTTGAAAGGAAAACATACATAAATACATACATACATAACTTCACGCCGGTTTTCCATGGGGGAAGGCAGATACTATGGAACGCCCATTACTACGATTTCTACATACCTCTTTCGCTTCATCAACAGTCATCAATCTTATCATGCACCCTCGTTGGTTAAGGGTACTTTTAATTTGGCTCTTCTATACTTAATATTATAAAGAGGAAAGATTTGTATTTTTGTATTTTTGTATGTTTGTAATGAATAAACTCAAAAACTACTGAACCGATTGCAATAATTTTTTCACCATTCGAAAGCTGCATTATTCAGAAGTAACATAGGCTATATAATATCACGCTAGGTCCTATAGTTGTGGAGCAGTAACCAAAAATGTTTTAAAAACGGGGGAAAAGTATCGTTTCTGAGGCCTTCCGTGGCGTGCGCTGAGCATATAGTTAAAGTTATACAAAAATGTTCTATAGATGAATTGTTTATCTTAACATTATTTTTAAAAAAGTCCGCGAGAGCATATTTATAGTTTACCCATAACAATCGTTTTAATGAATGGTTCAATCCTTATAAAAGTTTGCTCTAGATAACTTTTGAATTGTTCAATCGGTTACCTTAAGACGCGACATCGACAACGGCGGGCAGGTCGCTAAAAAAAAACGGAGAATAAATATAAATAAAACGTAAAACTATGTAAAAAATCTTAAGTCCCCCCGTGCGAAGCCGGGACGGGCCGCTAGTCTTTAATATATCGCCAATCTGGTCAGTATAACTATGTCCATCTAGGGCGCCCTCTACCGACGCCCCCATTCATATCCACTGTGTGTACTTCTTCGGTTACTCTACTTTCATCTATCCTTTATTGGAAGGAAAACCCAATAATATAATGTGATATTATAAGGTTATATGATAATATGTTTAGAATAAATTACGCAGCTATAATATCTATAACAAAGTGCATTCTTCGTCCCCATCCAATAAGATCTTACCCCGAAATATTTTGTCTATGTTAATAAGTTTAAATATAATTTATGACCACTTACTTAGAATAACATGCATACCTATTTTCTCCTTTTTTATTAAAGTTTGCGGTCAAAATGGGATCGGCCCCTTTATTTTGTTATGGATAATAATAATGTCCCATGAATACCCTTATTTTTATATCTTAAGAATTTACGTCCCCTTGCATTTGACGGTAAAATCTCTATTTTATTACAATTGGGGTTGCTTTCTCATTCCTTGCAAAGTTATAACAAAATTGCATCTAATTTGACATTTTTTTTGTTTTCTGGGAAAGTATTTGGTTTAGTAAAAATTGGGAAATGTTTTTATAGCTTTTTTATTCCATAAGATCTTCAAGTTACTTTAATTAGTCACAGGCTTGTGACAATCTTCCTCCTGATGTTCTAAGGGCCGTATAAGGGAAGATGTGATGATGTGCCTATGCAGGCACTAAAGAATCTTCCCCTATTCGGCGGAACACACGCCAGGGCGGTGCGTCTTGCGTCTGCGATGACCAGGAAAAACAATGGGGTAGTTTCCTAAATTGTATTTAATGTCGGTCTGGTAGATTAATTTAAAACAATACGCGTTTTTTCTCTTTTCTCATAAAATTTAAAACTGTCGACGACATATTATTTTTCCAAATATCGTGTGACGTATCTAAGTACTGTTTACGAAAAAATAACGTGTCTAATATTTTTTCATTATCTAACTGACAGACTAATTAGATTTCATACCCTGGCAATTACCCTATTGTACGGGTTGAATGGGGGAGTCCACATTGGCTCGACTAGCGGCCGCCGCCGTGCAAAATACTCAATTGTTTTTCCTGTTCATCGCAGACGCAAGAAGCGTTTAGGGTTGTACCGTCTCATCTCTCATTTGCGAGATCCAGTAGCGCTGTCTGGACATTTAATTGCATCCTTACGATGCAATAAAAAAAATCGGAATGTCCACCAGTTTGTAAATGTGGAGACAAGCAAACCCTATCGTGACAGGAAGACCCTTTGACAGTGGTGGAAGCCCTGGTTTTTAATGATGATGACTCAAACAAATCTAACGACGTACAAGCTATTGGAATTAAAACCTTATATCTTACATTTCAGTGTCCATTCTCCCGCTCACACCAATTATAATTCTGTGTATAGTGGAACTGAATCGGGGCATTAGGGACAACCATATGATGGCGGGTTGTAACCCTATATTGCACTGGGCGTGCAAGCTATCGGCGCATATGGGCATATACTGCGTTACTATACTTCTACCAGTCATTGTTATAGGAGTCATGCTTGATTTTGATAAGACTTTCTATCAATTCAAGTTTTTAGGTAAGTAACATAAAGTACTACCCCAATTTGTCAACACCCCACCCCTATTCTCCCCATGGGTATCCTAACAGTAGATTAAGGCTACTGTAGTCTATATATGACTATATACATGTGGGATTGTAAGGCAAAATAATCGAGCACTATTAATTGAAACTTTTATTTCAAACACGTTATAAAAATCAGCGTTACATCGACCGTGGCTGTTTGTCGTAACTCCCTCTCGCCATTCCTCCCCTCTCTCACTCGCACACATACTTGTCCCTTTCTTTCATCCGCTGCGTTCCGTTTTAACAATCAGATAATCTGCGTTCTTAAATTACTAAATAGGTACAATGTTTATCCCACATACATACACTTTGGAGCAAAAAATAGTGCCAATAGTGTTTTTTTCATTTCTTGATAAATATTTCCTATTACAAGTATTTTATTAATTGGTAACGTATGTTGCATAAGGCAATTTAGTTACCTTTAAAATGAGAGCATTTTATTGTAATTTTAAATTTAAATGTGGGAGAGCCATGTTTCGGCACGAATGGGCCGGCTCGACCGGAGTGATACCATGGCCTCACAGAAAACCGACGTGTAATAACGCTTGCGTTGTGTTTCGTCGTGTGAGTGAGGTTACCGGAGGCCCAATTACCCTCCCCTTCCCTAATTTCCCCAACGCGTACTCGTTACGATTGTCTCAGATGGCCCATGTGCTTCTTTGTTGCGTGCGTTTCTTGTCACCGCCGTGATTTAAAAAAACAATCTTAATATATAATGTTATGTCTTTCAGGATCAATTTTGCTACTGATAATAGTATTTGGACTGGCATTCCTGAGTCAACTGTATTTGTTTAGTTTTTTCCTAAATGAAAATCTTGCTATCAGCCAAATATATGTGCTATCTTTATTTTTCGGTAAGTTATATTATATTACTGTTTAATTTCAATTTAATATGTATTCCTCTCAGAAAAACTACTTACTAGACTTAACTTAAATAGGTACTTAATACACGAACAAATATGAAAAGCCCTTTGCAAAAGCTGCTAGGGTATTCTGTAACAGTCATTTCGAACTTTTGAAGTGAGGTCGATCGCAATCTCTCTATTGGTCGAGATTATTATCACAACCAATGACATGGCAGACCGCGATTGAGTTCACTTCGTCTTTCGAATTGAAAGTAACAGAATAGTCGAGCTAGTGTCTGTACACCTAAGTTTAATACCTGTATCATATGTCACCTGGCTTCGTACAATATCCACACAATACGGTAGTTGACAACTAGTCAAATTCAATACTTTTATCGAAACGTCAAAAACGATACTGTTCTATGAATTTTGTACGAAATACTAGCTTATGACGTCATCATATTTTCGCGTCAAATAGCACACTTATATCTGAAGAAAATGCAAGAATAAATCGAAAATTAAGTATATTGGCAAATGAATGAATGAAAGTGTAACTATTTTTCAATATTTAATTGGATTGAAAAATCAAAATAATTTATTTTTGACCCAGGCAACTACCCAATTGGGTACTTTCCTTAATCAAAAATAAATTATTTCGGCTGTTCAATACAATAAAGTATTAAAAAATAATCACACTTTCATTAATTGATTTTATAACCAACTTAATTTTAGTGTTTGTCTAGCAAATTTCTATGAATTAAGTATCCTGTTTGATGCTAAAAAAACTTGACGTCACAATACACAACCTCGTACAAAATTTATAGAACACTGTCGTTTTTGACAGTTCGAAAAAAATATTGAATTGGACTTTAAAAGAGACAGACCTCTGAGTTTGTTTCGGCATTTCTTCTCAGAATAGTCAGTTAGGAAATGTCGACCTCATCGTTCGCTTGATAAAATTAACGCGTAAAAGTGCTGCCTCGCAGCCTATTTGCAGAAATAAATTCACTTGTTTCACTCACTTGTTTCACTAGTTGGCAAGTACCCAATTCTTCAGTACTGTATTCGTCGGTACTGACCTACTTTAATATAAATGACAATGACCAAATTTGTATGGAGCGTGGTGCCTTTTAATTTTTTCGCGGCAGTTGATCAAATGTGATAAAACTGATGCAGAATAACATTACAAATAAAAAGATATACGGGGTCTTATATCAAAAACACAGTCCGAACCGAGTAAAACCAGTTCAAAGATGTGAAAATAGTGCTACATTATTCCTGTTATTTTTATGATGGTGACCGTACACAACACATATTTCTTCATTTACTTGTCAGAAATATTTTGTAATAAATGTTTGTAAACGTTTTCAATGAATATAATGAAGCTTATTATGGACTAGAAGCATCCCACTAATTATCGACTGAGAGAATATAGCAAATAAAAATTAGTGCCTGGCAATATGGATATATTGTGGTGTCATATGGTACTGCTGTGCCCGGCGTATGTGCAGTGGCGCGCAATTTGAAGTTACAATAGTAATTGTGACAAAAATATGAATGATTTCAATAGAAAAAAAACTAAAGTAAAATGTTTGACTTAGCTCCTTTCGACGCTCATAACTCAGTCCAGACTGAGATTTCCATATATAACCCCATAGACAATTTCGTTTGTAATGTCAACCTAGATCATAACATAACATAACATCACGCCTTTTTATCCCCGAAAGGGTAGGCAGAGGTGCACGTTATACCACTGTACAATGTACCACCCACTTTTCACTATTTATGTTATGAGTCCCATGTAATAGGGGGTGAGTGATATTTTCCATAAATCATGGATTGCCGCCAGAAAAAAGAAAGGCACCAATTTTAGTCAATGCCTTTTCAGGTCTCATCCTACCAATAGTATCCGCAGTATTAGAATCGGAATGGAGTGCGTCCGTTTTCGTCACCATACCGTTTTTCGTCATAATGATTGTTGGTCGGCTCTGTCCAATATTCCCGTTTACTGTGGGCCTGTGTCGCCTAACATTACAAGCTAGGCTCAATGCCTACTGTAACCTGAATAAAAGAAAATGTCCCAACTTAATTGTACTCGATGAGCCGGCTTTTGACGTTGATTTTTGTTGTGGTAAGCATATTTTGTTTAGTATAAGTAGGTAGGTACACAAGGACGTAGCCTGACATGAAGAAGAAGACACAGAAGTGCACTACGGCACTTAGTGTCACTGGTCACTGTACAATGTAACACTCACTTTTCACTATTTATGTTATGAGTCCCATGTAATAGGGGGTGAGCCTAATGACATATACCGAGCACAATTCCAGACTCCGTGCTACTACTAAGATTTTTTTAAAACCCAATAATATTTTGCCCGACCCGGGAATCGAACCAGAGACCCTTTGCCTGCCTTTGCGTTCGCATTGCGACCGCTTGACGAACGAGACAGTTACACAGGTACACAAGGGCTGGTAAATATTAACAATTAATATATAATATTTTTAAGTTACATTATGTCCGTCTTTTTTTCGAAGTCCTTTACTGACCTTTACAAAAATTTTAATGTACTTAATGTTATTTTAGATAATTCGAAAAAAAAAACATTTTTGGAGAGTATTTCTTTGTGGTTAGGTTGTCTTTTTGAAAAGGATAAATACCTACTCTGCTTACATTATTATACTTAACGCCATCTATCAATTTCATTGTGAGAGTGATGTTGTAGACTTGTCCAAACGATGTTTGTAGTTCTCGGTGGTTTACTGGGATGTAGCTATTACTAAAAAGAGAATTTAAATAAATATGTTAGAAGACTTGAAAAATAATATTGTTACTTATTTTTATATGTTTTAACCTTTTGAGCGCCAGCGTCACAAATACGTGACAAGCGAAAACTGTCCCTGAGCGCCAACGACACAAATATGTGACAAAAACAGCGGTACATTAAAACACGAAATAAACTATTGAAACATTACTTTAATGCCTATTTATTTATATACCTGTAAAATAGAAGGTCCAAAATTTATTTATTTCCATAAAACTAATTAAATTGCATTATAAATATTGAGAAATTTTACGTTAAAAAGAAAGAAATAAACTCTGAAAAAAGAATGTCCTCACACGCCAGAGTCATAACTGCGTGACCGCTAGTGATGTAGCGCATGTTGGATAATATCATTATTTTAAATCAAAGATCGATTCGAAACTTTCCTCTGGAATATATTATTTTAGGTATAATTTGGTACTAGGATAAAGCAGCATTAATTTTATAAAACCAGTCTTACAAATCATTCAATAAGCTACATAGTCAAAAATAAAATTTGGTTGGGTCGAATTTCGATATTCACTAATCCCAACTCAAGCGCATCCCTAACGCAACCCGAATTATCAGTACCCTGCACGCCATGGTCACGACTAGACGACAATATCGTGACGTCACAAGCGCGGCGACCAGAAATTAGTGAAGTGAATGAATAATATTTATGATTAATTTACTTGTGATATCGAGTTCAAGATTTATATTAAGTGACTATTATAATGAGTGGGAATTTAATGACTACGGAAGAAGAGCGAGAGTATTTGACTCGAAACTTTTATTCTAAGTGTGGGCTCCATATTTACCTATAACTTCGTGGAATAAAGTCTGCCAAAAGTTCCTTTTTTAGCCACGGTGCGCGCTGAGATCGATTTCACTGTCCCCACCACCCACTTTGCACCCAGCGAATTAGATGATCAGAATGCAGGTTGCATTGTAGATTTTGTATAATTTTGTTCTAATAATCAAAAGATTTATTAGTATAAGACTGATTGGTAATTGTGATAATTATATATAATCGTTAATTGTTTTAATTTGTTACTTTTTATGCCAGGTTTATAGAACTTAATATTTAAAAACATGTATACATAGTACATACTGTATAACATTTTATTAAAATTTTCTATTTTTTCATAGTTTTTATTTACCTTCTTAACCTATTTCAATCATATATTTTTAAGTACCTGTTACATTCGGAATTATAAATCTGATTTAAAAAACGTGTTTCATTTATTATAAAATAATATTGTACTAGAACATCGATAAACGAGATATTACGTTGCCACATCCTTATTTCGGAAGCGAAGTAGTTATTAAAATGGCGGGCCGTCCACGCCATGGTCACAATATGAAGACAGCAGATCAAGAATAGTGTTGTACCTACAGTTATTATATTTAAATATATTGTAGTCTCATATCTGTTATTACGGTATTATACAAGTCTGTAAATAGTGTATAACTATTACTTTAATAGGAAGAAATGTAATGTTGAATTAAATTTCAATGTTATAAGGACATTATATTTCGAAATTAAAGACGAAAATGAAAATAAAATTGATTATCGATGAAGTTTTGGAATCCCTATTTTTTTCGTAGGTATTTGCGGTGAATTTGTGGCCTGGCGTTGAGGGCAAGTTCATGCGTTTTTGCTCTGGCGTTCAAAAGGTTAAGGTTAGGTATTAAAATTCTAAATGCAAAGTAGTTTATTAGTTTTTTCTCTAGTCAGCAAATTCAAGCAATCTGTCAAATTTATTCATTGAATTTTCGACTTTATGTCAATACAATAAAGTTGAAGAAAGTATAGAGAAATTCGACAGAAAGGCTAACCTACATTTGGTCAGTGGTCAAGGTGCCTACATTAATGTACAGTCTAATTTCAGAGTCAGAATCTATGGAGCCGTATCCATATTTATCGTCATACGGATCTGGTTTCTATGACTTGTGGAATCTAATCGTACATTTCCTAATTTTCTTTGTAAGTAATTTATTGTATCTCTAACTAAATCATCAATATTTTGAGACTAAATTTATATCTACAGATAAATAAAATTAGAGTGTCTATTTGTAATATTAAAATAACCGCTTTTTACCTTAAACACACGATACACATACCAAAATAACATTTTGTCTGTTGGTCTGTTTATTTGTACTGGCTAATCTCTGGAATGACTGGACCGATTGTGCAAAACTTTTATTGACAGGTAGCTGATGTAATAAGGAGTAACATAGGCTGCTTATGGCACAGAGGGTCATGGCGATCCGAATGATCCGCGGATACCGCACGATCTCTGGGGAGTCGGCGAACCTCCTTGCCGGATTACCGCCGTGGGATCTGGAGGCGAAGGTGCTCGCGCGCGTGTATCGCATGCGCGCGGAGGCACGTCGCCGGGGCGAAACTCCGCTGCCGCGCCAGATAAGTGCGTGGCGGGATGAGCTCCGGCGCGATCTCATGGCGGAATGGCAGCAACGACTGTCGCAACCGAGGGCTGGGCTCGCTGCCATTGCAGCGGTAAGTCCCCTCTTTGAGGAGTGGCTTGAGAGACGCTACGGCGTCCTCACCTACCGCCTGACGCAGGTCCTCACCGGACATGGAAGTTTCGGGAGGTACCTGTGTCTGATGGGGCGGGAGGAAACGCCCGGGTGTCATCACTGCGAGGACCACCCTGAGGACACTGTGGAACACACTGTTGCGGAATGCCCTGCGTGGGCTGAGCACCGCCGTGCCCTCAGGGAAGTGATCGGCGATGGAGACCTCTCGCGTCCGGGCCTAGTGCAGGCCATGATGCGGAGCGAGGGGGACTGGGATGCCGTCTCCTCCTTTTGCGAAGCAGTCATGCTGGCTAAGGAGGAGGCGGGACGCGTGAAGCAGCGAAGCGCTGCCTCCTCGCAACCCAGCCATCGCGAAGGACACACCGGGCGTCGGGGATCGCGGGACGATCTCCGGCCACCGTAAGCGCGGGCCTGCGGACGGCGAGCATGGGTGGCTCCCCGTCCGACCAGAAACAGACCCGAGCGTACGGCGCGTCGCGTTCCGCGCGCGCCTCAAAGAGCCATCAGACCACCACAGATGGGGCCCAATAGGGCCGATGCCGATTCGGAGTCGCGGAGAACCTAACGGGTAACCGGGGCTCCGGCTCGACGTGCAGGAGAAGGAACGGGGTGGTTTTTAGTCAGTAAGAGTCTGACACTCCCTTCCGCCTCACCCGGGCGGGAGCAGTCATTCGATGATTTTCCCCCCTTAAAAAAAAAAAAAAAAAGGCTATTTTTATTTTGGAAATTGAAAGAAAAATAACAGTTATGTTCTAAAATTCATATTCTACGCGGACGAAGTTTTTAATAAACTTAAATAAGTTATAAGTTTTTAAATAAGGAGACTTATAATAAAAAACGAATAAATATTGAAGTTTGTCTAATAATGGCTATATCGATTTGGCTGAAAATTCGTGCGGTGTCTTAGAACCGTAGGATTATGTTCGTCTCCTAGTTCTAAGACACCGCTAAACTATCCACTTTTGTGGATATTACAACCACATGTACCTAAAATGTCCACACAAATTATTATTGTGTGTTTAGAGCTAGTAAGTACTAGCTTAACGTATCGTTTTATACCATTGTTTTCACGATTTTCGCCTTCCAACCAAAAGTCTTAAACTTTTTATACAAGGACTAGCTACTTCCGCGCGATTTCACACGCTCTGCTCAGCTCCTATTGGTTGTAGCGTGATGTTTTATAGCCTATAGCCATCCTCGATAAATGCGCTATCTAACACAAAAAGAATTATTCAAATCAGACTTGTAGTTACGGAGATTAGCGTGTTCAAACAAACAAACAAACAAACAAACAAACTCTTCCGCTTTATATAATAGTTAGTAGTTAGTATAAGATTTTTCTAAAATACTACGGGAACAGGAAAAACATATTGTTTGCAGAAGTTAGTATTCCATGAAAAGAACACAAACCTTTTTGATAGTCCAGTGACACAGGCGTTACTTTTCAGGCGTTGGTAATACTTCTAGAGATGAGAATACCACAGTACTGGTATGAACAGTTCACCCTCGCACGCTTCAGACCCTCTCAGCGCTTCTTCCATGATCCAAGCATCAAAAAAGAGAAGGCCCACGTTCGCACAGTTATTCGTAATTGTTAGTAGTCTATCGTCCGTATTATAATAATAATAATAATATTTATTTATTCAGATAACTGAGATCCATCCATTATAAACATGATACTCCATACTATTCCTTTTTAAAAGTCCGGTAACGCACCTGTGACTCCTTTGGTGCTGCGGGTGTCTATAGGGGTCGCTGATCGCTTACCATCCGTGACCCGCCTGCTCGTTTAACTCCATAAAAAAATATTAGTATTTGTTCATATTGTGAATAGTGACAGATGTACCTACCTATATTACTCGATAGAGTCCTTAAGACAGCTATTATAGTAAGCAAAGTGTAGGTACCTATTAAGTGTACATTATTATGGAGAAGAAGAATGACAAAGAGATATTATGGCCTCACAGAAAACCGACGTGAAACAACGCTTGCGTTATGTTTCGCCGTGTGTGTGAGATTCCCATTATTTTTAAATCCCTAGCCCCCAATAAGCTGGCAATGAACTTTTCTTTTCCTTCTTTCGTGTTGCGGTTGTCCATGGCCGACGCTGGTTCTGGTCATCTCTCTGCTCATTTGCTAGCCTGTACCATAAAAGTATATAGTAAATATGATATTTCTTATTATCAGGTAAATTCGAAGATGATATGTTGTTAGTTAACAATGTGCACAAGGAATACTTTCGTCATGTGCACAGATGGGCCCCCCGGAATGGCGTCAAAGGCGTTTCTTTTAGCGTCAAACAAGGTGAGTACCTTTATATCAACATTATAGTATATTTCATCTTCTGATTTATTGCGTTGCGGGATCCAAGACAGTTGTTCATGTTCGTGGCACGCGCCGGACTTCAGTGTTCTAGTGTTTTCATGGGTGTATCTACTGTAGAGCTTGGCTGAAAGGAGATGCAACGGGATTAAGGCGTTATGACGAGCTTATTACAAAAAAAATGGGGCTTGGATCACCAGATCACGCAAATGTGTGAAGGTGATGTTTTGGCCAATCACAGCAGCTGTCAAATATTAAACGTCCAATGGCGTGACACTAGCTAATTTCCTAACGGATGCTAGTGCCATCTGGTGAGCTAAAATATGGTAGGCCCCAATACACACACTTGTAAATATATTGTTGTTCAATCATGAAACTTGGCGATTCCATGTAAATTAAATGCAGAGAAATGTGATGCCATCGAGCTGATCTGATGGTGGAATCGGAAAATGACTGATAAAACTTTGGGCAAAACCAAAAAGGTTTTACTAGTAAATATATGGAGTTTGGGCTTATCAGATACATCCATTTCACTTGATGATGCTAAAATAATGACCCAACAATATGTTATTACCTTTTAAAATTCATACAATTATCTACATCTATTTTTTAATGCTTATTTCAGAGCAATGTTTAGCAATTCTAGGTGCTCAGGCTACTGGCAAGAGTTCACTACTGAACATGTTGTCTGGGAACCTCGTTATGTCTAGAGGTAGCGCCTACGTTGCCGGCAACCATATCAGGAAAAATCGTATTAAGGTAATTTTCTATTCATTAAAATAGCTAAATATCACTTTACTCCGGTATTTGTAATTTACAATCGTAGCGCGATCTGGCAATTTAAGTTTTTGAATTGCCAACCGCGATTCAAGCGCGGATTATATCACATACCCCTCTTATCTTCTCTTAGGCCTTTGTGATGTCACAATGTGATATTAATGAGGCTGCTAAAGCAGTTTGTGAGCATCTAGAGTTGCTTTAAGCTGCCACTGTGGAAGATGCGGTGACAAAATTAGGGAAGATGGAATTTTCAGGGAGGAGATTAGAGCGCCTGTCCTGAATCAGCCAATCAGAACACCCAACGCGGTCTCATACTTTAAACGTAATAGAAACTCATAGTTCATACTCCGATTTATTTCGTTGCGGGATCCAAGACAGTTATTCATAGCCTTGGGAAACATCGAACTTGAGTGTCCCAGTGTTTCCATGGTTGTATCTACTGTAGATCCTGGCTTACAGGGGTTGCAGCGGTTTTGGGATGTTGTGGCGGGCTTGTTGTGAAAAAATACCCTTCTTGTGTAGAGAAGGCCCATACTACAGCAGTGGAATGTCACAGGCATTTTTATGTTTGGGTATTTAAGTAAACATAACGTAAAATTACGCCTTTTACCCCCGAAGGGATAGTCTGAGGTGCACATTACAGCACTTAATGCCACTGTACGATGTAACACCCAATTTTCACTATTTATGTTATGAGTCCCATGTAATAGGGGGTGAGCCTATAACCATATACTAGGCACAATTCCACATTCCGTGCTACTACTGAGAATTATTTAAGTAAAGTCAAGTTTAATATAGACCTATTTCAGCAGATAGGTCATGATGATAGGAGATGGCGGGATGAACTTGACGCCTATGAAAAGGATTGGCCACAGAAAGCTTTAAGAAGAGAGTGGAAGGAGGGTAGGGAGGCCTTTGCCCTGCAGTGGGACGACTATGACTAAAAATAAATAAATTAAGTAATAAATATGTTCAGCAGCTAAGATGATGATGATGAAGTGTAAAATTTGTTGACAGTACTTGCACAACATAAGTTTGTCGTCAGCGTCAGGAGGAATGGATGGCTTTATGACTGGAGCACAGAATCTGATTTTTATAGCACAAATGCGGGGGTTCGAGAGCAGGATAGCTTATAAAATAGCATACGTGACTCTTCGATATCTTGGTAAGAATTATCTGTTCTTCTGTCTTCATTAAAATGTACTATACTCGGAATTTTAATTCGATTCCAGATTTGACAATATCAGTGTTGCAACGTTATGACAAGTACTAAATAGTGACGTTGCGAAATTATTCGATATGGAAATGCAATATTTCTGGATCGATTCTTCTCGTTTATAATTTTAATCTCGTAAACTAAGTATATCAGGAAATTAAATATTTCTGAACCGATAATTTAGTTTTGACAATTAATTAACGATCTGATACTTTCTTTTGTATGAAATAAATAAAAAAATGTAATCATGAAGGAACATGACAAATAAAACAGATAGATGTAATATGGTAATAAGTTATTTTATAAATTGTCGCCGTCATCGCTATCGCTATTCTGTCACTTTCTGTACCATTTATTATAAAACACACACACTGATTGTTTATCGATTTTTGTGTGCATCACTACACTATTATATGTGGTATCATTATTTTACAAAATGACAGTAGCTATTGTCAAATCTGGAATCTAATTAAAATTCTGACTATAGTTACTCCTCTAGTGTTGCGGGTGAGCATGGGTGGCGCTATCGCTTACCGTCAGGTGATCTGACTGGCCGTTTGCCTCTTATTTCATAAAAAATTGTATTTGTTAAATTTAGTGCGTTTTAGGGGATTTTTGTTACCATCACCATCTATATCATCAGATACTAACTACTTACTGCTAGGTACTCTTTGTGTGATTCGTGATTGATCAAAATTTTGTTCCGGGTGATATGTATGTAAATGTGTACCAGGGAAAAAATTAAAAAGCTTTTCCTGTGGATAGTTTTTATACCGTCACGCTCTTTATCTCCGAAGGGGGAGGCAGGGCTGCACAGAAATTTTCGAAATACTGAAAAATAAAAACAGTAGGCAGTGTTTTTGTCTGATCCGAGAATCAAAGACGAGACTCCTTACCCTTAGTCGTTGCGATCACCCGACCAAAGAGGCAGTATTTGGAGAGCGTTTTTAATAAAACAACAAACATAATCTGGTCGCAGGTATACATGCTCTCCAAGGTCTAGTGGAGCACTACAGCGCTGGTTGCTTGCGTCGCCTGTCCCTATGTGGGTCGTTGGTTAAAGGCCCCGCTGTAGTATTTGTAGACGAGCCGATGCGAGGCATCGATCCTACCTCAAAAGTGCTTGTAGCTAAAGCGCTGCGGCGGCTCGTTCTACAGCCAGCCGCTGTAATTGTTGCTGAAACTAGGTAAGACAATAACTTAATATATTATGTATTTTTTTTAAAACGTTGCCCCACATTAGGATTTTCTCCTGTGTCGTGGGTGCGTTTACAAACATACAACTTCACATACACAATGACCCGAAACAACAATTTGTGGATCACACAAAGTGTTGTTCCGTGCGGGAATCGAACCCGCGACACGTTGCACGGCAGCCGGTTGCCCCACCACCGCACCAACCGTGCAGTATTAACTAGATAGAGACTAGATAGAGAGGTGCACTGGTGCCCATGTAACTAGGAAGTCTGTCGATTGCTATAAACCAGATATAATTCCAGACGCCATGCTTCCACCGCTGACAATATTTTCTATAATAAATTGAAAAAAAAATTTGCCTAACTCGGGAATTTAATAGATAACTATGTTACTAAACGCACACGAAACAATATATACCTACTTGTCTTGTTGTACACACATATAAACTAATAGGGCAGTTGCCAGGGAATGAAAATTAAAAATCTAATTAGTCCGTCAGTTAGATATTGAAAAAATATTAGACAAGTATTTTTTTATTTTCTCCTATTAAGTTGCAATACAAAATGTAGCGCATAGTGACGTCACACAATATTTCAGATTAATATATCGTCGAAAGTATTTAATTTTGTGAGAAAATAAAAAGTACGTGTCTAATGTTTTAAATTAATCTATCAGACGGACATTAAAATAAAATTTAGGCAACTACCCTATTGTCACATCTGTCTCCCATTGCATCTGCAAAGCAGTCATGCTAGCTAAGGGAACGAACCACCTCACGTCTCAGCCGTCGCGGGAGATACTCCGGGCGTCGGGGATCGCGAGACGATCTCCGGCCACCGTAAGCACGGGCCTGCGGACGGCGAGCATGGGTGACTCGCCGCCCGACCAGAACCAGACCCGAGCGTACGGCGCCGAGCGTTCCGGGCGCGCCTCAACCAGCCATCAGACCACCACAGATGGTGCCTAACGGGGCTGAAACCGATACGGAGCTGCGGAAGACTTAACAGGTTGTCGAGGCTCCGGCTCGAAGTGCAGGAGTAGGAACGGGGTGGTTTTTAGTCAGTAAGAGTCTGACACTCCCTCTCACCTCACACAGGTGGGAGAATTCTTGGATGATTTTCCCCCTCAAAAACGAAAATCGCTGTTTATTCATGCCAAGGCTTTTCACTTTTATTTAATTTATTTATAACGCTAGCCTTTATTTTGTACTTTTTCATTTCAGTGTCGCATGGCGTATCCTCCAACCAGTAATTACCCGGATAGCAATAATGTCTAAAGGGCAATTAGCTCTCATAGGGCCGGCGCAAGAAGTGCTAGAGTCCATAGCAACCGGGTACACTGTGCGGATCAAACTGAAGACTATGACTGCGTATAGGAGTGATAGGTACCGGGCCTTGCCTGGTGATGATGAAATGTCTGCTTCATGTAAGTGATCTGGGTATTTTGCCCATGCTTATATTATTACAACTGCTTGGACCCGACGAGCTGAAGATTGAAATCGGGGTTGACCCCTGAAGTTTTTAAAAATTCTCAGTAGTAGCACGGAGTATGTATGTAATTGTGCCCGGTATATGGCAATAAGCTCACCACCACATGGGACTCGTAACATAAATAGTGAAAAGTGGGTGTTACATTGTGCACCTCTGCCTACCCCGCCGGGGATAAAAGCCGTGATGTTATGTAATATTATTATTGTCTTTGGCGTCCCTGTCTACCCCAGTAGATGCAATTATATGTTTATTTTTCCGTCATAACTCTCATGAAACATAATAAATTCTTTATTATGTTAAACATAAGTCAAATAACTGTTTGACAAGTTTTAAGCCACGCCAGTTTAATGTACCACGAGATTTATAGTTATAGTACGATATGATATGTTATGTTATTTACAGCTACATCAAGCAATGACGAGTCAGGTATACACACTGACAAGAGTGTTATGATCGCGTCCAACATCAGCGGCTTCAAGAAAGATTTCCTTAAAGAATTCCCCACTAGCCAGCAAACTGGGGAACATTTGGTGAGGACAAACTTATCTTACTAACACATATTTTTATATTAAATACAAATACGTTCTCGAAGTGTACACTTAATGGTAGAATTAAAAAAAATGCTCAAAAGTCCTGTGGCCGCACCGTAAAGTTTTTATTAAAACCTTGCCACATAGGTACTGGGATTCTAAACAGGAGTTAGGATTAGGGAGTGCGTATACAAATTTACAATCACACACACATAAAACATACCTGAAACAACAATTTTCGGATCACATAGTCACCATGTAGGAATCGGAACACGACACTTTACACAGTAGCTGCGGCACCAAAAAGTCTAAAGTTCAACATGAGGTTCTTCAAGAAGGGCTTGAACAGGTTTTTTTAACGGTCAGCAAGGCATGTAATGCCCCAAGTGTTGAGAGCGTACATGGGCTACGGCAACCGCTTACCATTAGGTGGGCCGTGTGCTTTTTTGCCACCGTCGTGGTATATACATATACAAAAAAATGTTAAAAATTGTTCGTGAGACCTATTATGTTACTATTTATTTATTTTTAGCCATGGTCGTCCCACTGCAGGGCAAAGGCCTCCTGTCAAAAGCATTTTATCCTTTTCATAGGCGTCAATCTCATATTTCGTAACATACTAAATTAATTATTATGTTTTCGGCTTACTCATATGAGTAACAGCGTGACAGTCGTCGCGTCGTGTGTCGAATATTGCTCATGGATATGAACCTCTACATGCTTTGAAACTAGTAGAGTTCCTCATCAAACAGTCACGTGACCAAGCCGAAATCATACTAGTTAAGTTTAAAGTTACCCATTTTATTTCAGTCAATGCTATATTTCGCCATCCATGATGAGTCAGAACAGAAGAAACAACTCTACAGCGACATGTTTGCAAAGCTGCAGGAGTTACAAGAGAAATATGATGACGTGGTAGAAGATTGTTACTTAAATGCCACCACCATTGAAGATGTATTCTTAAGACTACAGACTCAGAAAGCCCCTCCAAATGATCGTCATCGCTCTAGCTCTATCGTAATTGACTGAACTATGAATGAAGATAATTTTAATGTTGATTTTTTAGTTTACGATTTTTTAGTAATACGTTTTTTGTTGTTATTAATGGCGCTAGTGTAGCTTAAGGGGACAGTCGTCGCGGAAGACACTACGGGTGTTGGGGATCAAAATTAAAATCATGTTTTTGGTGAAAAGAAACAAATAAATTCTTAAATACAGTTTGGTTTGATGGACAAACATTTAGGATAATCTTATAAGCTGGGCAAATTTTACTATTTTTTTGTTAAAATATTTTTATGAAGAAATAAACGAACAAATCAAGTGCACAGACTCAGATGGGGCCCAGTACAGCTCATGCCGGATCTGGAGCCGCGTAGAACTTAACGCGTTGCTAGGGCCTTGACTGGAAGCTGTAATAGGAACGGGGTGATTTTGAGTCAAGAAAAATCTGACACTTCTTCTCGCCTCACCCAAGCTGGGAGAAGACATTGAATGATTTTCCCCTTCAAAAAAAAAACTTAAGATGAGAATCAGGTAGGGCCAGAACAGTCCATGTGAAGAGAGTCCACTGCTGAATTTGGGCCTTCTTGGCAGAAGTACTGGTTTCTTTTTTAGAATAGGGTAGATGACTAATTTTAATTTTAATATCCGTCTGGTAGATTGTTTAAAAACATTAGACACGTATTTTTTATTTTCTTACGGAAACGAATAGTTTCGAAGATATATTGATTTGAAATATCGCACGACGTCAATTTTGAGTACGATTTATACTCAAAAATGACTTAGCTACTTCCCACTCCTAAACTTTGATTCGTTTTATCTAAGTATTACTTTGTTATACGAAAAAATAAAAAATACGTGTCTAATATTTTTTTATTGCCTAACTTACGGACTAATTATATTTTTTATTTTCATATCCTGTCATCATCCCTATTCACGTTACTCTCGTACTTAGATGATTCAGTGACGCGTTACTCAGTCTCCTTTTGACAGTTAAATAAATAAAATTGGATTAAAAAGACCTTACGCCCCACTAGCGCCTTGGTAAGTATATAAAATCTAAAAGAAACGCCTTTGATATTTTACTTATGATATATTATGATACTGTTTGTTATTTTTTAATTACCTAATGTCTAATTTTTAATAAAATTCCGTTTATATGGTAACGATTCTCTGATTTCATTTGATCTCGGCGTGTTTTTAAAGCGTTCTGTTTCTTAATTAATATTTTTGTACATGGATTCGAAATGTTATTTTTTGACAAATTGTAAATTTTCCATTTTCATTGTGTTTTGATTGATTTCGGTAATTTATGAGGTTAATTTACTGTGTTTATGAGAGTCCAATTTGTATTTAATTTTTTGTTTTGGTCGATATTGATGCAAGAGTTCTAAAGTAGGTATGTATGGTCTATTTGTATACAAAATTTGATTATAATTTGTTCAGTAGTTTATGTGTAAATCAAAAACAAACAACATAAATCCTTTAAGTGTTGACTAGTAAATAATGTCTTTTGGTTTTATCTTTATTTGTATCGTGACAACAAGTTGGTCACGACTTTCTATATTATCATTAGTTTTTACTAATTCTATTGACAAAATACAAAATGGCGAGAAAGAAAATTGAGTTATTTACAGATATTCATAATGAAAAAGAATTTGATCTAATGTTGAAGACGAACTCGAAATATCTTATATGTAAGTATATCTTTATTTTTATTATATAATTTAGCATTACTTGTCACCAACTATGTTATCAATGATATTATTATACTAGGTGTAGAAATGAAAAAAAAAATTCAAGTAGGTCATTCGGATATCGATTCTGAGTCTGAATCAATAAAACAAAAATGTAGATAATTATTTTTCCCTTTTATGTTAATTCGTTAGTGCGAACTACGCCGGATTCCTCGCCGCCGGCTTGTAACTAGCTTTATAACGCGGCTCATAATCAAGCCAGATACTCATCTGTGATTGTAGTTGGGATTCGATTCGTAAACTCCCAATCTATTTCTATCACCTTCCTACCATCTCTGTTCAACCTACTTAGCTAACTTGACTTCCGATGTTCAGTCGTTGCTCTCATAACCATAATTAGTTTCTAATGAAAAACAAATGATGTAGCAGTAGAATACTCTACGAACGCTCAAATACTGTAAGGCTACTTAACTTTAAGTTGTACTTAAATATCGTGCTATCTCTGTCATTTTACAAAGAATTTGTAGTGACAGAACTATACTTAGCATGTCTTAAAATTCAGTGGCATTTGAGTATTATTGTACACGTACCTTAACGTCGGAAGTCATTCCTTGTGCATAAACCTCATAATCACGGGCCCCGGTCGTGGCTTGAAACTTTTCGAGCTCCCTCGAATGATTACGTGATGTATGTTCTGTAATTACTTATTTCTATTTTGAATAGGTGCAGAAATATATAGTTACGCTTTTGGTTCCTGTTCAGCTCTTGATAGACTTTTCAACACTATCAAAATGAATTGGGCTGATGGCAAGCTTATGTTGTTAAAGGTATGCTTATTATTTTATTTTAAAAGGCTTCATGCACACGCTAATGTACAAGGTGGGCTTAATGCCATAGGCATTCACCTCTAGCCAGACCTTTGGGTGATGCAGAGACAAAAACAATGGTCGATGCAAAAACCAAACGTATTCAAGATCGAACGAAAATTACATTTAAATGACACAACAATAAACTTACGTAATAGGGTAGTTGCCAGGGAATAAAAATTAAAAATCTAATTAGTCCGTCAGTTAGAATGAAAAAATATTAGACACGTATTTTTTTATTTTCTCGTGTCAAGTCACAATACTTAGATGAAATTTTAATGGAGTTAAGTTTAGGAGTGGGAGGTCGTTACGTCACAAAGTGCTACAAAATATAGCGCATTGTGACATCACACTATTTCAGATTAATATATCGTCGAAAGTATTTAATTTTGTGAGAAAATAAAAAGTACGTGTCTAATGTTTTAAATTAATCTATCAGACAGACATTAAAATAAAATTTAGGCAACTACCCTATTGTCACATCTGTCTCCCATTGGGGTAGGCAGAACGCAGAGTCCTTACTTTAGTCATTACAGGGCTACATAAATATCTAAATTACACTGAACGGACCGACATTAAAATAAAATTTAGGAAACTACCTTATTATACATAAGTATATTAATAGTTACGATTATTATTACACTTTACAATAAGGAAACGAAGCTATTACTACCATTTTTTCTTTTTCATTATTATATATTTTCTGATACCAATATTTTATTAATTGGTAACATACATTTGTCGTATAAAAGTCAATTTATTTTCAAAATTAAAGCGTTTTGTTGTAAATAGATTTTTTATTATTATTGAGGGTCGATAAAATAAAAAAATCTAGTGGCCCCGTTTGTGTTTTCCCTAGTGTACATTTAAATTTTTTATAGATGAGGTATAGGTATATAGATAAATTACTTTTTTAAAATATTTCGTCTATCGCTTAGCGTATTAGTCTGTTGACTTTTTTTCGTCGTATAAATAAAGAAAATCGTTGATCATTGTTTTTCATGTATATTAATTTGATTTATTTTCTTAAAGGTACCAGCTGACGAGATAAAATTACTGCAGAGATTCCGAAATCAAAGTGAACCAGTCTATATTTTTATATTGGTACGTTTTTGAAAAAGTTTTAAGACTAAATTAATAGGATTTTTTTTTGAGGGGCGAAAATCATCCAATGCATTCTCCCGCCCGAGTGAGGCGAGAGGGAGTGTCAGACTCTTACTCACTAAAAACCACCTCGTTTTTACTCCTGATCTTAGGCCGTTAATTGGACGGAGCCACGGAGAACGTAAAAGGTTACCGGGGCTCCGGCTCAAAGTGCAAGAGTAGGAACGGGGTGGTTTTTAGTCAGTAAGAGTCTGACACTAATGGCGTGAGAAGTCACTCTATGATTCCCCCCTAAAAAAGGCCGTTAATTGAACTCCTTATTGCTTAGTTGGCTGCGACAGATCTACCTCTATAATTATCTAATTTTCTACACCTTCGCTGTAGAACTCCAAAGTGACGAAGGTGTTCAGAGGAGTGGATCCTATCACTTTTGCTGAAGTGGCTAAGTATGAGCTATACTGCTTCCACCGGTGGAGGGATGGGGATCCAGTAGACCGGCCACTATACGAAATTGATGAAGTTACTTCTGATGAAATGGTAATACCATAATCTATACTTAATATTATAAAGTTTTTTTTTTGCCACAAGCCCGCCACAACTTCCCAAAACCGCTGCAACTCCTGTAAGCCAGGATTTACAGTAGATACTACCATGAAAACCAATATTATCAAGTTATAGACTACAAAAACTTCCATGAAAGAGAGGGACAGATCTATTACTAAATAGCCCTACACCTAGTGCAGTATCTTGCTTGAGAATCCGAAACGAAATCCAATAATACTTCGCAATCTGCAAAGCTAAGCTAATACCCCTTGAACGGGCCTGCGGACGGCGAACACGGGTAGCTGTTGCTGCCCGACCAGAAGCAGACCCGAGCGTACGTACTCATGCTCGATCCGGAGGATCTCTATACAATTTAACGGGTTACCGGGGCTCCAGCTCGAAGTACAGGAGTAGGAACGGGGTGGTTTATAGTTAGTAAGAGTCTGACACTCCTTCCCGCCTCACCAGGGTGGGAGAAGACATTGGATGATATTCCTCCTTTACACGTTAAACGCCATGGGGGTCACCGGTGACCGGCGTTAGCGGAGGATTTTCCTTCAAGTTTTTTATTGGCAGTCAGTCTTAAAAAAAGCCCCTTGAGACAGTTGTTGTAATGTAATCACTGAATACTGGGATCTAGAATCTATATAGGTACGTAGGTAGCTATAAGGATTTTTAAACTTTATCTCTTTTATGTTCTATGTAGCCAAATGACACCCAAAATTCGATCTAAAAGCTAAGTATATACAAGCTAAAACATGATTTATCCAGGTGTACCTAAATAAGTACTTAATCATACAAACGCCACATATAATTTATG